TACTATTTAATTATTTTTCTTTGCATTTCAATTAATTTTACTATTTTTCCATTATTTTGTTGTGTTAACTGTTTAATTATTGTTTTGTTGGATATTTTCTTTTATTTATGGATATTTAGTATTTGGAATGATAACTGCATGATGGTTCTTGAAAATATTTATATTTTTGTCTATACCATTTATTTTAAAAAAATATCCTTACTGGTCGCCCCAATTCGCCTCGCCTCGCCTCATCGTCTCGCGCTTAGGCGTTAGGAGACTTTGTCGCCTCAGTTCGCTTTTTGCCTTAAAAGACACTGGAAGCACAAACACGGGACACGACACAGATACACAAGGACACGTAGACACGTAATTTTTCAAAAAATGAGAGACACGACACGCTGGAGACACGCTCAAAATATATAATTTTAATTATTTTTTATATAACATAAAAATAAAATAAAAAATAAAAGTAAAAATTAAAATTAAAATAAAAACCTTCACTATTAAATGTAGAATTTAATAAGTGTTAGGTATCGAAAGAAAAAGAACATTAACAAAAGAGAGTAGGAAATATTTTAGCCTTATTTGATTTGTATTTGAGAAACATGTTTTGAGATAAAAAGTACGAAAATTTGTTTTGTTTGGTTTTTTCTCAAAAGATGTTTTGAAAAATTATTTTGAGAGAGAGTTTTGGAAAAAGTGATTGATTTGATGTGTATGAGAGAGATTTGTTTGGAAAATTTGTAAACCAAACAAGTTTTGGAAAAAAAATTTGGGAAAATTTGTTTGGTTTGATTACTTTTGAAAACTTAGTTGTAGAGAATTTTTCCCAAAATTTTTTGAGAAACACAAACCAAACAAGGCCTTTATTTTTTGAGATAGTTATTGTTCAAGCTTAATGAAAGACAACATCCCACTTGAGCGTCTCACTTTTCTTATTAAACAAAAAAGTAAAGAGAATGGCTCTCTCTCTCTCCCCATCTTTGGCTCTCTATCTCCATCTTTGGCTCTCCCCATCACAGGTTCTCTCTCTCCATTGCTGGTCTCGCTCCCTTAAAACATCTAGATTACAGCTTTGAATCGAACCCTAGGGTCATTTTCTGGGTGGAATCGACTTTGCGAAGTTGGGTTTCACCTCTCCTTCGATTTAGTCCAGTTCGTGACTAGGTTTTGCATCTAGATCGTAGCGTCGCGACTCGACTTGCTTTGCGAAGTTGGGTTCTAGCCCTCTCTCTCTCTCTCTCTCTCTCTCTCACAAGCTTTCGAACAATCTCAACGTGCCCAAGACGAGTCCGAGAGGGAGCGGGGGAAAAAAAAAAGGACGACTGCATGTCGGACATGTGTCCACTGCGTGTTGAACACGTGTTAGTGTTCGACACGTGTCTGACGCTGGTACATAGCCCTTGGAAATGTGTCAGTGCTTCATAGAATAATGATTTCCACTATATAAAATAGTTTGTGTTTAAGTGGTATTTATTTATATATTTATTAAGATACATTTTGCTCTTGCTAACTGTTTGAAAATTTATATGCAATGTGTAAAGAGGAAATTTTTCCAAAAAAAAAAAAAAGTGTAAAGAGGAAAGAAGCTTCATGCTTACAAATGATTCTCCCAAGCTTAGTGGTTGGCAACCCATCATGTTTTAGGTTGTTTATGTTTTCAATTCTTCTTGCATGTATCTTTAAAAGATTGTAGTTATGGGAGCATGTTACATGTATCTAAATTTCCTATGTGGCAAGCCACCTATTCATAATAAGTCATGAAATGAAAATTGGCTCTATGGCTTGCCTTGTTTGAATGCGCATATCTTCTCACCTTTGTTGACTTTGCTTTGTGCCTTGCCCTGCTCATTGCAGGATTGGAAGGGCAGACTGATGTTGTCATGCCAAACTTAGATTGGGATTAGGGTTTAAGACCTCAGGGACCTTGGCCCCGCACCTTGCTCGTTGCAATCAATGATTGCAAGGGCACCTTAATGCTACATTGCCAGCCTAGGCTGGGAACATGGCCTGGGAACTCATTGGGGTTGCAAGCTATGATCTAATAATTGATTTGATGTGCTCCACAAGATGTATACATGCCCATCTCTGTTATTAGAATCTTATGATTCGCGATTTGATTCACGATTCGATTCTCAAATTTTGCAAAATCGATACGAATCTATGGGTGAATCTATTTTGAAAGTGAATCAAGATTCGATTCCCTTTTTACAATTCATGCAATTTTTGAAATTATTGTGTCCTATGTATTTTCGACTCTTTTTTTCTCCATTTTTTTTAGTGAAAATGACATTATACAACTTCTAATAGCGTTTATTACCAAAATAACCAACATATATACATAATTTGTTGTTATTTTAGTTATCATGAAATTTTTAAGAGGATCCAATCAGATTCAGTCAGACGCAACATATTTTTAACCTTTCTTCTCATTTTTTTTCCCCTTCAAAAAATCATAATATGTCTTCTAAAGATGTTTAAGATTAAAGTTGCACTATGAATTATTTATTGCTATTTTATTAAATTGAATATAATTGAATATTACATGTGTGAGGTCAATTATACCTTTTAAAATACTTTAGGCTTTAAAATAAAATATTTTAAATAATTCTTTCTTATTATTTGCTCACTGTTACTTAGAAAAGTATGTATGTTTATTGTCCAAATATCAACTTTGTTGTTAATTATTGTTACTTTGGAAATTAATAATTTGTCTATTTGGTTATTATCTTTATTAAGAATGGTTGATAAGAAATATCTAAAAAAGAAAAAATGTAAGATGGTGATCATACATAGGAACCTTTGTTAACTTCTTACCTATTAAACTACGTGATTATCATTCAAAATAACATTTTCATTGATTTAAGTCTAAATATTTCATATTCATCAGACATATTTAACATCTAAATATGTAGATATATGTTTTTAAATAATTTAGAAAAAGTGGCTGAATCTTTACGATTCGTGATTCGATTCGTGATTCGGTATGAGGCTATTTTGATTCACGATACGAATCCCGATTTGACAGCTATGATGTCCACCCAAACTTCGCCATAACTCTAATGAAAAACCCTGAAATGTATGAGAGCTTGTTCTGTCTTCCACTCTTCCTCAAATTGTGTTCTGGAGGTTGACCATAAATCCAAAGGAGTTCTTCCCTATTCACTTGGTCTTTGCTGGTGCCTAACGAATCCTCTAGCTGCCTTGTTTATTTGATTCGATGAAATTTAGTGATTAACCTAAGTGCATCATTTTTGTTGTATTTATCGTTTCCAGAAAAAGTTAATCTCGCCTCATTGCATGGACAATATATTGAGGAGGTTGGTTCACACTGTTTACCCATGATATTGATTGACTGAGTTGGTTATATACTGTCAGAGTTGCTGATGTGAGTTTCCGTGACATTTATATTTGGTAATACTAATACCAGTGATTGTCTGGCCACATTACTAACACCACCCTTAAGATTGGATTTATGGATACTTGTGCACCTAGTAAAGGGGGTTTGAAATAGAGGGTTTTCTGGGGGAGATACAGTGTCCAGGTTGGATTTTTTAGATCAAATAGGACTAGCTGGTGGTTCACACTGCTTACCCATGATATTGATAGAATGTGTGGCTTACATGCTGTCAGGGTTGCTAATAGTGAGTTTCCATGACATCCTATTAGTAATACCAGTCATTGTTAGGCCACATTACTAATACCACCTTTAAGATTGGATTTGTGGTACTTGTGCCAAACATTGTGTTACCAGATCAAAAATATTCTTAGTTACTGTACAACTACTGTCTTGTGCTTTGCCTTTGATCATCTTTGTCCCAATTTTACTTACTCATTAGAAATGGGTTATAAATCTTGATAGCTGAACCACTTGGATGACATGGCTTTGCTGATTATGATTTGTTATATACGTTATAGTAATCTAGAAGCATTTGGGCTTGGACAGTGGTGATGGGAACTTCTTTGGGGGTCGGTCTGATTTTGTTCACACACCTTGTTAGGTTGTGTAAACAGAATCCACCTTCTGATTGGTCCAAAGCAGTGGGTTCAACTTCAAGTACTTAAGTGGGGTCAATACACTTCTTGGATCAGGGCCAACTACTTTGGATGAATCACAACATGTGTGTGAACAAAACCATTTTCCTACTGTGGAGTAGTTCTGTGTGAACAAAATCATTTTCCTATCGTGGAGTAGTTCTGTGTGAACAAAACCATTTTCCTATTGTGGACTAGTTCCTTGTTCAATGTCCTGTCCTAGAGAAACAGGTTTCTTTGAGTATCCGACCAGATATGAGACTCATTAATAAAGGTGACCCGCTGTCAGAATGGAGTGTATTTCGAAGAAGTTTGGGTTTTGGGAATATTTAGGAACTGAAGAATATATCAATGTCTTTTTACATAATAGGTGAACACTAGTCAATGAGTAGATAATTATTTTCTGCTGCCATGAATAATTCTCTTATTCTATCAAGCAACATTCACAATCTTATTAGGAAGCATGGAAATTGAATTCTATAGTCATCATCCAATGTAAAGACTTTTTGCTTATCAGATGAGAATAATCGTTAGCTGTTGTTCTAATGCATTGCTTCCCTGTTAAGAATAGTTTAATAAGAAAAATTATCACAAAGAAAAAAGAAATGTAAAAGACACAGTTTTGAGAAACAAAAAGGACTTAATCCCATTAAGCATTTTGGCTGTGGCTTAATTCATTTTGATTTCTTGAATTACTGTGGACATTATTTGCTTTTAATATGCTATTGATTTGATATGCTAACGAAGCCATTTGTAGATGTTTTTACTTGTTTAATTACTTGACATTGTACTTGAGAATTCCGTCTTTGTGGTCCTATGTTTAGATTTCACAAACTGTCCCTATGCACTGTCGATATGGTTACTTGCAACTGTATGCTATGCATAGTACTTGGTAAAATTTTCTTTATTTTTATTATTTTTTTCTTTTTTTGTCGTTGTTATGATTGTATGATTGTAACGTTTACAGTGCTCTTTATCTACAGGGGTCTGACTATAAATGGGGGAGATCATCGCTGATTGTTCCTGATGACTCCATCAACTGGGTCTCATACATATGTTTCTCCTTTTACTGTCTCGTTTTCCTTTCAGTTTCTGGAATTTCTTTCACCTGTAAAACTTATATATTTAATTAGGACGATTCTTTTTCTTTTTCTTTTTAATCTTACAGATGACATTGTATCTCCTTGAACTTTGTCCAAAACTGTCCTCGTAGGCACATTGTCATTGGGCATTCTCGCCTTTCTGAGAGGATTTGCCAGACAAGATGCAAATAAATATATGAATTAGCAAAGTGGATGATGATATAAATTCTAACCTTCTAATGAATTAACAGGTTTGGGTTTAATCAAGTTTTTTAATTTTTTATTTTTGGCATCTTTATGACACCACCAGTTGTGGTTGTGCCGTTTTACTGGTAAGGGGAAAAAAAAAAAATAGCAATGGCAATGCTTGGTGTTTAGGATTGAGTGAGTGGTCATACATAACACATATAGAGCAAGTAATATATTTACAATTTAATCATTTTAAATTTTCTTCTTTTTAACCACAAAAAAAAAAAAAAATTAAATAATCGCCATATTTGTTTCCAGTTTTTTGAATACACTTTTTTAAAAATTCTACTTTTTTTGTTTTTTTGTATTTTTTTTTTTGTTTTTATTGAATTTTTTTAATATTTTAAGTAATTTTTTTTAATTTTTAGATATAGCTAACATAAATATACTTAAAAAAATATAATTTTTCGTGATTTTTTTTTTAAAAATTTCACTAAATACAAAAAATATATAATAAAAAAAAGAAAGAAAATTTAGTATATTTTTTTATACTTTTGTGTATTTATTAATTTTTAAAAATATTTTTTCACAAATATTTTATATTTTAGATGCATCTAAGGAAGGTGCATCTAAAAAAATGAAAAAAAAAAAAACTTAAGGTTGCGTTTGATAGAGCTTTCCAACTATGATTTAAGAGTAGGAGTTGTATTTTGAGTTTATGAGTTTTAGAATTATGATTTGAGTGTGGAAAATTTGTTTGGTGAGAGAGTTTTGAATTGAATGGGAAATTTTTGATGTGACATGATATTTGATACAAAAACTTACAACTCATAACCAAACATACAACTCAAAATTCAATTAAAACACATAAAAAAATTAAAAATTAAGAAAATATTTTTTTTGAATATATAAAAATTAACATATGTCAATTGCAAAAAAAATAAAATAAAATTGCACTGTTCTGGTCAACCGGCTAGACAACCCCGGTGGAACGATCGGCTAATCCAAATTTTCCCGCTTTCAATCATGTTTTCAAAAGTAAGTGTGGAATTAAGTTTTAAAATTCATAAACAAACGTCGTGTTCAAATTAAGCTCTAGAACGTTAGTTCCAGAGCTGTACCAAACACAGTCTTTATGATTGCATTTTTGGCTCCGTGGAAAAATTATTGTGTGTCATGTGGCAACATGGGTAGGGCCAGTACAAAACTGATTTATAAGCATGTCATGTAAGATTTTGATAGCGTTTAGTAGAGTTTTAGACATGATTTGATAATAGAGTTATTTTAAGTTTGTGAGTTTTAGAATTATGATTTGAGCGTAGAAAATTTGTTTGGTTATGAGTTTTAAATTGAGTTTTGAGTTAAGTGTTGAATTGAGTTTTGAATGTTTAATGTGACATGTAAAATAAGAAAATTTGTTTGGTTATGAGTTTTGAAAATTCAAACTCTTTTTAACATTCAAATTAAAAAAAAAAAATGTCATTTTGGTATATAAAAAATAATTTTTATATTTAAAAAATATCAAAAATAAATATATATTTTTTTTCCCCAAATAATAGGTAGTGATTGACGATTGGCAATTGCAAAAAAAAATTAAAAAATTACACTGTTCCGGTCAACTGGCCGGATGTCCAGAGGAACGTTCGGAAAGATGATCGGATAAACCCAAAATTCAAAAATTCCCTGCTTTAAAAAATGGAGAACGAGAGAGAGAGAGAGAGAGAGAGAAGCCAAACATGAAGGAAAATTATATTTTGAAAATGTCTGGTAGAATCACAGTTTAAAAACTCCATCCAAGCATGAAATGCAAATGGAGGAGTAGAATTATATTTATAGAGCATAACCAAACACAGTCTAAAATTTTAAAAATATTCACTAAAAATAAAAATATACGAAAAATAAAAAATTAAATTTTTAAAAAATTAAGTTCAAAAAATTGAAATCAAATATACTGAATGGTTTTGTTGTACATGTTAAGAAATTTTGCCATGACTTGGTTGTGAGGACTGCTGTTACTTCATTCAGAATGATTTCTATAAACAACTCTAATTTATCTCCTCACACAGTTGCTTCATATATTTTGCATTATTTTCAAGCAAATACAAAGACTTCTGCATTTATTTATTTATTTATTTTACTCTTTCTCTGTGCAAATTCTAGAATTTTTATGCAAATTTGAATCAAGGACTTTGGCATATGCTAGGGAGGTAGTATTGTAACCAAGTCTTGAACGCTCAATATTTCTCCTTACAAAGATTCGAGCAACTGCCCTCCTTTGTTGTCGGTTTATGAATTCGAATTAATTTAAACTTAGGTTGGGAAGTGAGTTGACTTTTTAGATTTTTTACTTTTTAATTTTTTTTTACTATTTTAGTCTGGGCTAAAAAGTCTGATTTGGGAAAGACTTTTAACTTTTTTTTATTTTTTTGTGAGAAAAAGAATGTAATAATTATGAGTTAGATGTGATATTTTGTCTTATTGAACTAAAAAACTTATTTTGTTTTTTGTGACTATTTTAGTCCCAAATCCACCTAAACCCACTTCCCAAACAATGGCTTAGTTAGGAAGCACCCAAGCAGTTTATGAATTCGAATTAATTTAGTTGGGAAGCACCAAGTTGTTGTAAGGTGGATTTGAGTCACGGGAATCAATCCTTGTACCATAAAGTGCTTACCTACTATTTCTCCGAGACCGTGTTGTGAGTGGGAGCTTTGTGCATGAAGTTACCACGACCCACCACGCCACCCAAGCCAGCTCAGGTCAGGTCAGGTCAGGTCAGACAAGTTAAATATCAAAATGTTGCATTTTTATTGGGCTTGAAATCAAAAGACTTAAGCCTTACAGAAACCTATACTCCTAAGACCAGTCATGCCATCTACATATCATTTTTATCAAACTTGTGTCCTGTTTAGTTTCAAATCAGCTGCACAAATTCAATTACTATAAAACAGAAGCTGTACAGAACACTTTCCTAAAATCAAGTTTGTTTTCGCTAAGACAGAATTTCTAACCTTCATTCCGTGTAAACTTACACGATCGTTAGCAAGACCTAATTTACAACTACATCCTATAAAAATTACAATCACAACCCTACAAAATTTTGGACAAGAAAGAGGGAAGGGGGAACTATATTTCGCTTTCAATGATCAGTTCGGCTGCTATGCCCATCGTGCCAACCCCGCCAACCCCGAGCAGAGCAAATGCAAGCTCCTCTTCATTCCATTGCCTCAGCCCTTTGCTCAACCTCTTTAACACCTCCACGTCAACTTCCAACACCCATGTAGGTGTGCAAGCCACCATTAGGCTCAAAAAACCAGACACATAAGCACGCCAAATGGCCCAATTACAACCAAGCGAAATCTTCCCATCAAGGGCACTTGCTACGAATTCCAAGTGGGGCCCGAGGATTTTTGGACGCCGCTTTGATGCTGACGAGGATGAATCCACACCCCAAGCAAAAGCTCCACAAAGCACCGCAAAGTAGGCTAATGCATACCCCCCAAGCATTGCAACCACCCCGGGTGAGCCTTCTTCAAGCTCGGACCTATGAACTGATATAAACCAAGAAGGCAGAGTTTCTTTTATCAATGATTGAATTAGTGCCAATCCACCCGATAGCCATACCAAAGAAGCCCCAAGTGAAGCAGCAAGTTTCACCTGTGTCATTGCTGTAGCAAGCGACACCTGTCCATATCTCGTACCATTTTTCGCTTTCTTCATCTTCTCCAAACTCTCCTTTGGTGGCACGCTACACATAATGTCTCTCACAGATTGCATCAAGAGAGAAATAATCTCTTCCCTTAAAAACATCATATCCCTGATGGATCTGTAGACACGAAGATACAAGATTCCTGGGGCAACAGGCGAAATCCCACCATAGAAATGGGATCCAAATCCGTGGCCAAGAAGTGCCCCAACACCTCCATTGCTCGATATAGGGGTCACGTTGAGGCCTAGCGTTGCGGTGAAGCAGCTTTTGAGAAGCTGAACCACTGCATCATTGTTGTGGAGGAATACAGTCCGTGAGGCAGAAAAAACAAGGAAATCGCTCCAACGCTTCGCCTTTTGGGTCCACAGGGAAGCAACAATTGGCATGCATGGCCACGGGCATCCTGCTGCAAGGGCCTCCAAGGCCGGGCCAGCCAGATTGAGAAAACGCTGCGACGAATTGTCAAGTTTGTAGGTTATAGTAAGGCTCACAAAGGCAGCCAAAGGCAGTGGGAGCGTCGCTGGAGAGCTTCCCCCTAGAAAAAAGACAAGTTTAGACAAATTTTCTTTACATGCCATGTATAAAGAACACAACACTTCCTTTAAATTATATGCACACCCTTAAAAAAAAAAATTTGTAAATGAGTAGTTGTGGTAAAGAGGATAAACCTGCAACAAGGCTCGGAACATCAACCCAAGTGGCGGCTAAGATTTTCTTAATTTGTTCCTCGACATGAGACAGATTTGCAGCGGGGCTAGGCCAATCTGTTCCATTCATAAAAACTGGTTTCCAAATACCCCGAGTTACTTCTGCAGAGAAGAAACTCACAATAGTTGCCAAAGATGCAGGGAGGAAATCAGCCAAATCTTTAAGCCCTGAAATAAAATAAAACAACATAACATAATAAGGTCATATTCATAGCAATGTTTCTTTGACCTCAACAACTTAAAAAAAAATAGGATGCAGCAGGGACTATGCACTCAAAAATAGTAACTTATTTATGTTTTAAGTTACAAATATATTTATAAGACTTTCAATATCTCCTTTAAAAATCTCTATTTCCAAATAAATTGAAGATTTTTAGGCTTTAAAGTTCTCAAAATTCAGAAGTCTAAAGCAAAATGGGTCAATAAATATAAAGTCACAATATCTTGATTTAAACTATTGGCCCTCAAGCTATTATCATCTTCAAACTTGTGCCAAGATCCATGTATCATGTGTGTCTAAGCAGTAGGCATGTCTAAAGTGTGTCCGGTTTTCCAAAGATTAATCAAATAATACGACACGTTAAAGTGTCCGACAAATGACACAATATGACACGACACCTTGAAAATGTATGTCTTTCTTATGATAAGTTCAATGCCCTTTGAATGGGTGGATTTTTATTTATTGGCCTCTCCACTTCTTGAAGTTTATATGCGAGTACAGATCTTCCCCAACAAGAATCAGACAAGCAAACCAGCCTAACCTGTACATAGTTCGCGAGGAGAGAGTCTTCCATGGGCACATGCTGTTAGAGCAGCATCAACCACAAAAGGAACAGCTTCAAGGACATCCCAAGCAGGTAATTTAGGTCTAGCAGATGTATCTTCGTTTCCAGGTCCTGATGAACTACTACTTCCAGATGTTACACAAGTCACAGACGAGCTTGCTCTATTAATCTTTCTGAACATCATGTTAAGAAGCCCATCAACAATCTGATGAACAGGAGTCCCATGAACAAGACCTGAGAGGGTTGAAGCTATACAAGCTTGATGTTGCCGATACCATACTTTTAGCTTTGGAAATGAGTCCACAAATATGGGTTTTGGAGGCGATGAACTTGCAACAGCTGAGACTCTCCTTTTATATCGATCACTGTGGATGTTTCCAGAAGACACTAGGTGGGAGTTTCGTACCAATAGGAGGTATTCAGGAGTTAGTTGAGAGCCTACTGGGGGTACATTGCCCACTCCATGTTCAAGAGGCGGGTGATTAAACCGCCATAACTTTAGAAGAAGTGCAAATGCATTCGAAAACACAGCGTGGGCAGAGATCTCTTCTCCTGCTGGGAGAGTCCATGAGGCATTGGGAACACATGACCCAAACACCTCACAGATTGGCATCAATGAACCTGCAAGTTGTGCAACCTGAAACAAGGCAAAAAAGCGAAAATCAGATCAAAGTTTGATCAGAAAATCAGATCAAAGTTGACATGAAGGTCTCAATAACATCCTCATCTCTCAAGTCTCAACTCATGTTGATGATTTGAAGAGAAAATGCTCCATTTTCTTTCAGAGAGATTGTTTGCATTGAGCTACCACAACATGATAGCTATGTTTGGATGACAGGAATCAAAGAGAAGGAATGGGAATCCCAACCAATTATTACCCTATCAGAGAACTAAATATTCAGACATTTAGGGCTTGTTTGATTCCACAACACTAATAGTGAGGTATAAATAATCCTATCAAATTAGTGTGGTATTCACAATCCCACCCCTACCCCATTATTAATAATCCTACAAATTTGTTGGATTAATTATCCATTGGATTAATAATCCTAAAACAAATTGTCAAAACAAACATGGGATAATTGGGCCCACGGATTAATAATCCCAATCCCATGCTCTAATCCTTCCAATCAAACATACCCTTAAAATACAAAACCTTGTTCAAACTATTTATGTCACTATTAATTGTGAACCACGGCCCTTTCTGTTCTACATTTCTGCTCCATTTACCATATGCACACTGAGCTTGACTTATATTAACCATATGGGTCTGACTATCATAATTCTTTCAGTCATTTTCTTAATTAGGGCCGCATTTGTCCTTCATGTCTTCTCTACATCCTCACAGCATTCTTTCTGACATTCCCTTGAATCATTTTTAATTTAAAGAGTCAAGACATATGATTCACAGTGCAATCAGTGGTGTAATGCACATGACATTAATCATCTCAGCAACTAAACAGCATATTGATGTTGGCTTACTAATATTCACACACAACCTAGAAGGACAAAACTATGCAGGAAGTTTCAAGCTAATAAAAGAAAACTATTCACACCAACGAAGATGTCGTCTCATCTCTATACTTGGTTAGTAAAAGCTTTACATACCAAGCCATGTAGGAAGAAAATCTGAACACAGTCAACAGGTGCTATTCCGACAAGGAGGATATTCAGCATCGGAGCATAACATATCAAATGGCTCTCACTCCCTAAATAATCAGTCATATTCATAGCAATGGAGAAAGCAATCTATTAATAAAACAAACAGTGTGTTCCTGAAAACATCAAGACCTAAACACAATTAGAACAATAAAGCAGTTTAGTTTTAAAAAAAAAAAAAAAATGGAAGGAAAGTGAAAAAAAATCCTTCTATACAACCTTGTGTCAATAATCTACAAAAATATTTTATAGAAAGTTCTAAAGTTTGACCTCATTACCTGAATATTCCAACCCTGAGTTAGAGAGGCTCCACAAAGAACAGTAGCAGCAGCTACTTTCTCATCATCTGATCCTTTGACCGCAGTCTCAAAGACTTTCTCGAGCTCTGCTAAGCTTCCATCAAATCCATTAGCTTAAATTCAGTTGATTTACCCTTGGATAAATCAATAAAAAAGAGCATCTGTTATACCTGGCTTCAGGAAAGAAAAAGTTCCAACTGAAGACCAGGCCAGTGTGGGAAAAAAGAAGAGGGAAATCTTAATGTTTTTCACGCAGCAACCCCCATATTTTTGAATTTTTTTGAACATTTGGGCCACCAACAATAAATAGAATGATTCTAAACATAAACATCTGAACGAAATATTCTCTGGAGTTATTATTACACATTTATATTTTTATTAATTGATCTTGCTGATTTAATATCCAACCTCCATTCTGACTAGTGACTACTGAATTACACATAATTCACAAAAATATTAGTATTATTCCATTTAATAGGCCAAACCAATGCACTCTCATATTGAAGATTTGGCCTTGTCTACAAATCATATCCACAAACCACCCCATGGAATAATTCTTGGAACTATCACGTTTTGAAAACTGCAAGGAGAGAAGCCCTCCATAGGAATGATACAATGGCTTAGAAACTTTGTTAAATAATTCTACAAGAAATTTACATGGGTTAGTAAATTACATGAATTTTTTAGAGAGAAAACTACAAAGTATACCTTGAAGCAGGAGTTGAAACTAAAGCGTTTATCATAGTTGGACTAAGTGGAGCTCCTTTCATGAATGATGACCAACTGGGCACTTGAACAGGCAAAGTATGAGGTATTTGGTTGATGCGTCCATTCACATAGCCAGGCCAGAAATATGCTGATGTGTCCAGTAGATTTCTGGCGATACAGGCCTCTACTATCAAATGGTGCATGTTTCCAGCTGCAAACAATGACATGAGCTTCATTAGATTTAGGCAGTGTTGAAGATATAATAGTATAAATAATATAATTGCCCATCTCTCTTAACAGTCAGCTTTTAGATTGAGTTGGTGGTCAACAATTCAATATGGCACAAGAGAAGGATATAGTAGTGGTTCATCTAGGGGGTGTAATCCCGTAGGACCAAAAGGAAATAAGATTTATTTTTTAAAAAAAAAGGCCAATGTAGCAATCAAATACATACTAATATTTCATTCAATAGGCAAGAAAATTATGGTGATGCACTAGTAGTGAGAAGACGAGGTTAATCCAAATGACCCTTCACATTAAAAAAACTATGAAAAATGCTTACAGTGGACCTCAGTGACATACACCTAGACCACATGAATTACAATGCCATGCAAGTTTGATATTACACCAACTGAAAATTTTGTGAAAAACTTTGACAATATTCAAGAAAAAGATATTACTTACAACAGTTCATTGGCAAATCTTCCACGCTGATGCACTCGAAGTATGCACTACCAACATTGATGCCTGAAATAAACATCATTGCTTTAGCAGCAGCCTGATTGGCCGTAGATATAACTGATTGGGGTGGAGTCAGCAAGCCCTTATAATCACCCAGACTCTGCAAGCTGGATATCAAATCCCTACGACGATTTCCAGGAACCTGCTTTTCTTTACAGTGAATTCTGTCACCGCATTCTGTTTCATCAGTTGGTGAACTCTCCTCTTCCTCAATTAGATCAATAACCACAAGAGTTGTGATAGTCAACAACATGCATAATCGAGTATCTAGCCGAGGCACAGGGCCCTCAATTGGATCTGCCTCCTAAACAATCAATGAAATATCAACCAAAAAAAAAGAAAAGTTAGATTTCTACAGATTGAAGAAAGTATTATACCCACAGAAACCTACAAATAACACCCCAACTTTCCATACAGCTATTCTAATCATCAAAAGTTAAGGAATAATCCATCAAATAGACATCTAGTGGAATTTAAGACCAATAGGACACATCTAAGCAACTAAAACATCAATTGTTGTTCCTTAAAGTCTAATTATGGCAGTTTAGATTAAGGTTTGTTCTATAAGTGTGACACTGATATCTCCCTTTATTCCTCTTTTCTAGGACTAATACGCCTTTTTATTTTATTGACTCAGAAAATACATAATCGTCAACCCATCATTGTGATATCCATGCTAAGACTTCAAAAGTTTCTCAAACAATCCTATCCTAGTTAACATAAAAAAATTATGTTGCAGGGCAACAGAGAGAAAAAAATTGAATTTAATAATGACAAGTTTCTAACCCTCTGAACAAGACGTAGAGCTGCCATCCAAAGACCTAAAAAGCTTTCATGCCAAGTGGTTCCATTAAATGCTTGAAGGGCCTTCATCAAACCTGTAAATAAAACCATGAACTTTCATTATGTTAGACATTGTTTAAGAGAATATTACCACTTTTCTTAAAAGTTATATGTCGAGGACTAGAATTAAATTAGCATTACCAGTAATTACTTCAATAGCACTTGTTGCATTAACTTGTGAACCATCCATTGCATCTTCTAGCATCAGATCAAGAGGAAGCCAAAGGGCAGAACGACTAGCTCCATGACAAAGACCAGTGGAAGAAGCCAGAGACCCAGAAGCCATAACTTCATGAAACTCTTGCGGTGAACTTAATTTGCATTCCCGAGCCAGAATTTTGCAAGTGTCTGATGTCAGCTGCGTAAGAGCCTCTGCAGTTGTAAGTTTTGAATTTCTCAATGCTGATGAATTTGCTACAAGCAGTTGTATCCGCTTGACAAAACCTCCCCAATGTCTGGGCCTGTTGAAGTGGCAAAAAGGGGGTAAAACACATGACCTATAATGATCTAACTATAGATCATGAACTTAAATGGAGTGGAATGGCAAGGCGGGATTCATGTAGTCATCCACAAATAGTAGGCAAGACTTTGTTGAGCATGAGTTAATTTGATATATAATATTCCTTTCAATTGATACATCAAAAGTCCAAATGTGGGGATGAGAAATTAGACAATTGCTCGAATGCATGCTAATACTAAAATGAATGCCAAATATTGTTGTCATTTTGTTAAAACCTATTACCTACTTCACCTACTAAACCTAACCCACTACACCACTACCACCTATCACCTACTTCACCCACTAAACCTAACCCACTACACCACTACCACCTATCACCTACTCCACTAAACCTAACCGACTACACCACCTCCACTTTACCTACTCCATCTACCACCTACTACCACCTACTCTTCTATATATAGGAATCATTGTAACATTCAATATATCGATCAATAATACAATCAATATCTATACAATTCTCTATTTCTCTTTACATTATATTTCTACATGGTATCAGAGCTATAAGATTTAAGCCTGTATTTCTTTGTCACCGGCGGGCAGCCGGCCGGCAACTTTGCCTTTGCTGCCCACTGGAATTTTCTATCTGAGCTAAAGCCTTCCTCACTCTCTCAACTTCACCAAAACAGCTCTCTTTTCATCCACGGAAGAAGATCACCCAAGAAGCACCAATCTATTGTCCCTGTTGCAAGGTTGTTTGGGCCCGCAATCTTTGAAGCTTCAAAGCTGCAGGTTCTGTTCCTAGGAGTTGATGAAAAGAAGCATCCAGGGAAGCTTCCAAGAACTTATACACTCACACATAGTGATATAACCTCTAAGCTCACTCTGGCCATCTCTCAATCAATAAACAACTCTCAGTTACAGGGGTGGTACAATAAGTTTCAGAGAGATGAAGTTGTAGCAGAGTGGAAGAAAGTCCAGGAGAAAATGTCTCTCCATGTTCACTGTCACATAAGTGGTGGCCACTTTCTATTAGATCTCTGTGCTAGGCTCAGATTCTTCATCTTCTCCAAGGAACTCCCTGTGGTTTTGAAGGCCTTTGTACATGGAGATGGGAATTTGTTCAACAACTATCCAGAATTAGAGGAAGCTCTGGTTTGGGTATATTTTCACTCCAACATTCCAGAATACAACAAGGTGGAGTGTTGGGGGCCACTCAAGGATGCTGCAGCACCTTCTAAGGTTAGTAGTTGTGGGTCCTACAAAGACAAAGGAGATGAAACCCCATCAATAAGCAGCTGGAACACGCCGAGCCTTCCATCATCTCTGCCACCGGCAACACACTCTCCGGCGAAATACCCAACTCCCTTTCTGGTTTCCCCGAATCCGCTTTCTCCCTCAACCCGTCTCTCCTCCTTCTCTTCACGAAAAAGTTGCAGAGGCGTCGTTGCCATGGCCGGCTCCGGCAAGTTCTTTGTTGGTGGCAACTGGAAGTGTAATGGGACAAAAGAATCGATCAGTAAGCTTGTCTCGGACTTGAATAGTGCGAAGTTGGAGCCTGATGTTGATGTTGTTGTTGCACCTCCCTTTGTTTATGTCGATCTGGTAAAGAACTCATTGACAGATCGGATTGAGATATCTGCTCAAACTTCTTGGATCGGAAAAGGTGGGGCTTTCACAGGAGAAATCAGGTTAGAGTGTTTCTTCTTGATGACTTAAGAATATTGGTTGCATTGCACTTGCCATTATACATTTCCACTAGAGTCAGATAAATGTGTCCTGCAGCCCCTTTTACTTTCTTTATCCACAATTGGTGATAGGATTCACAGTTTTAGGAGATTATTTTGAATATGCTCGAGAAAAAAGCCAGGGTGTGTAGTTTTGTTATATTTTCAATGTTATTCCATGTTTTGTATATGTATTTGTCAATTCAACAATGATATATGGCGTTGGATAGGACAGATGCTATTATTGTCCGGTTCCCCAGTTTAAAACTGAGGCGGCATTGTGGTGGACAAATATGGGGTTTTTGGCCATGATCGTAACTGTTTAGTGCTCTGTTTCGGATTGCACTTCTGTTTGCTCAGGAATGAGAATCTACAGCTGGGGTTTGCTTGTGTTCCATTTTCATGTTCTCATGGACCATGGGAAATAACGATGCATTTCTGAGTAAAAGGACAATGCCTGGTGTTTGTCCCCATTAATCAAGCCTGTTGGACTGCTGGAAGGGTAACACTTGAGATAGACGTAATCTGTGGCTTTATTTATACAATGTGGCTGCTGTCAGACTCAAGCCCACGTTCTCATTCTTGGCCCGAGATTTTATCAAGCGTTTCTGTCTATATGTCAATCTTACAATTTCACACAAGTAAACATGCTCACATTTCTGTTTGCAGTGTGGAACAATTGACGGATATTGGTTGCAAGTGGGTTATTCTTGGACATTCTGAGCGGAGACATGTTATTGGAGAAGATGATCAGGTAAGGATTACTAAAAATTTGATTTCTTGAATCTTGAACTTCCAAAAGATAAAAGTCACCTATCTAAAATGAAAATTCATTGTCATTGGGTTATTAATTGTATTTTATGACAAATTGAGGCCATGTATTCGATTCATGACTGAATCACTCTCACTCACCTTCAGTTTATAGGAAAGAAAGCTGCTTATGCCTTGAGCCAGGGTCTCAGTGTGATAGATGAGAAAGAGAGAGAGATGGTCTCGGTGCATGTGTACTGTGTATGCATGTGCCTCTGTCTGCTGGGTGTGAGTTAGCCTTCATTGCCCCCATCAGCCACAAATTACACCAACCCCACTCCACTTTCTTTTCTTTTAATATATGTTTATTATACTATATTCCCTAAAGCTTCCACTCAAACTCAAGTTGGTTAGTTCCTATCCCCCTTGAGTTTGCGGGGGGCTGTTAAAACCTATTACCTACTTCACCTACTAAACCTAACCCACTACACCACTACCACCTATCACCTACTTCACCCACTAAACCTAACCCACTACACCACTACCACCTATCACCTACTTCACCCACTAAACCTAACCCACTACACCACTACCACCTATCACCTACTTCACCCACTAAACCTAACCCACTACACCACTACCACCTATCACCTACTTCACCCACTAAACCTAACCCACTACACCACTACCACCTATCACCTACTCCACTAAACCTAACCGACTACACCACTACCACCTCCACTTTACCTACTCCATCTACCACCTACTACCACCTACTCTTCTATATATAGGAATCATTGTAACATTCAATATATCGATCAATAAACATCAATCAATAATACATAAATTTTTACACATTTTATTTCTTAATTTCCATAAATAACCAAAGAAGTGAAAAGATTTCATATTGCAGAAGTGCAAGATAAATACCACCAAAACCCAATGCTGCAAAGGAAATTAAGTACTCCAGATAAAGATATGGAAAGTTGGCTAAACTTTCCCACCAGGACCTATCTCCAACCTAGCATGGGTGGGGATCATGTTTTCAGCAGGCTATATGGTTCAAATAGGGAAGAGATGGATCTTTAAGAAATAGTGAAGGGCTTTTTCAATCCACAAAGCTACAGCTATCAAGAAAATTTCAACTGTAGGAATTGGGTTCAAGCTTTCACAAAAAGTATCTTCCATCCCTTTTCTGAAGTGGACTAAATGGGAGTAGATCAATGTTATTCATCTTGATTTCACAAAACAAAATTAAAAGGAGAATGCATGAAGCTTGAAAAGCATTTTCAAAAGGAATGAAGTTCTGACATGTTTTGGCGTGCCAAGTAAAGAATCCTGGAAGTTACTTTATTTTGCAGAAATTGCCCAATCAACTCTATAGCCTCCACAGTATTTAAATTCTGCAATCTCTCTTGATGTTCAATCCTCTCCTCATCATAATTGTCATCACTGTCTACCTCCATATCTTGAGATTTAGTTACCCATTTAGATTTCTTTTCTGGGGTCAGTTCCATCAACACTTCATCATCTAATGATGCATCAAGCAACTGCCAAACAATTGAAAAGATAAATTCAACCACAAGAATGCCAGGTTCACTTGATTGCAGACCAAATATCTGGGAGAGGTGAAGAACATTGTCTATTGAATTCATGATCCTGAATCAAGAAGATAAGTTAGAAAGAACAAATTTAGGGAACAAATGATACGAAGTATAAATTAGGATGAGTTCTTGACAAAATAACACTCATGGTAAAAAGAGTTATAAATACTTGGTGCAAGTTTGGGATTCCAAAGTCCAAAACAATAATAAAAGGAATAAGATTAAATTCACTTCTATAATAAAGCTCAAAGGGTTAGTGATCTAGCAGGTGACTAGCTGGTGAAAGAAAACATTTAGACCACTGAGGCAGATTGGTGATCCAGATTACAAAAGGCAACAATGTTGAGTACAATGGGCAAGCATACTACAAAGCAATGCAAGTCCCACAATCCAAATAAAACTGATGTAAAGGGGAACATCATGCAAATAGGCTACTCCATAGCATTGATCCCTAATAATTGAGGGTGTTGGGTGGGGTAATCTGGATATAGGCCTAATTGTTGACATAATATTCCCAAAAAGGCTGCGGTTAAACTCGAACTCACATTCTCAAGTTTGGCAACCCGAGCATCGTACTACTGCACCAAGCAATGGCCCTAGAACATCATGCCACTATCTTCATTCAAACTATGAAAGTTGTATTCTCTTATGTTGGTTTCATTTCATTAGTTTTGATAAGAGGAACAAGATCCGAAGCATACGGTGAAAGAGCAAGAGCTTAAAGTAACCAGTCTGAGATTGAGGTTGTTTTCCTCATATGGTACATGAAACTAAAATCAAAACTCACTTCTGGAAATCCGGCCCATCCATATGAGATTTAAGTGTCAAAGCATGCCTCTTTAGGAGTTCCATGTAAAGCCTATATGCCGCTGGCCTGGAACATCGACTTGGAATAACCCTGTAGAAAAGAAAGGGCACAATGTCATACAACAATGTGCTGGAAAAGATGCAGTAAAACAACTACAAAACAACAATTCTCGATTCAGGTTAGATTAACAATTGATGATGCCACATTGCCACACTAAAGAAACAAAATTACACCCATTTCAAGAGACAAAATGTCAAACATCTGAAATGCATCGCACCATCTCACAAGTATGGCATTTCTAAGTATTTAATAACAGAAAAGTCAACCCGAACCAATCTGTTCATATGAACACCTACAGATCCCACACAATCAGCGCAGAAGAAATGCAAGGAGGGACTAATCAACCATCAATTCAGTTTCAAACACCAGTACTGTAGCACCCAAATTCCAAAACAAACCCAGTGTTTCAAATAATCAAATAAAACATAAATCAAGATGTGTTCATTGATACAGCAAAAAGATGTGTGTAAGAACTTAAAAGAGAAGAGTAGATGACAATATGTACGGACCCAAATCATTGCACCATGCAACAAAGCAGAGGACATATCATGATTGACTGATACATAAAACAAAAACAGTTTGACCATAAACAGGAAAACATTTCAATCTCTGGAAGAGAAAAAAAACAACTACAACATGAAAACAATCAAGGTCAAGAATATATATATATACACATATATAGATCACAATAACACCCCTCCTCCTCCATCCTCCCTCACATAGAGCAATAATCAAATAGATGGATGCAAAACAAGGCCAGCCCTCCTCCAATTCAATCACAACCGCCAATTTCATGCACACCTCACCCTGTAATCTGGGACCCAACTGAAATTAACGGCGTGTGATTGTTTTAATGCAATTCACACAGTATATCTAACAAACATCCACCAAGCTAAAACCCAAAACAACCCTCCTCTCAATCAATAGCAAAACCCAAAAAAAAAAAAAAAATTAAATGAAGAAACAGAAACAGGGGAAGCAGAGAAAGAGAAGAGAAAAAAGAAAAAGAAAAAGAAAAAGGGAGACCTGCTGGAAAGCAGAGCGAGGACGAGCAAAGGTGGCACGATCTTGAAGGCCAAAGCTTTTTCAAGGAACTTCCATGCGATGGGTACGTTGTTGTCCCAACAAATGTGAGAGACGAGAAGGTTTGCGAGTTCAGGAGAGGGGAGAGAGACTCCTGCAGAGTTCAATTTCGAAGAGAGTTGAATTGCCCACAACAGAGGATCAATACCCTTTCCTTGGGCCACCTTTGTTAGCTCTAGGACACTGTCCCAGATATTGCTATGTGCTGAGACCACCTCCATTAGTGAAACATATAGAGAGAGAGAGAGAGAGAGAGAGAGAGAGAGAGAGAGAATTTGGAGGAGGGAAACAGAAACAGAGAGAGGTTACAGAGAGAGAGAGTGGAAGGTAATGGTTGGTGGGTACAGCCAACTGGTTTATATTTGGGCAAACCTCCAGGTGCAGTTGCTAATTGGTCTGTGATGTGAAACTTTGAAGTCAAACAAGTGGTGGGTTGAGCCCTTCAAACAAAAATAAAAATTAAAAATTAAAAATAAAATATAATATAATTATGATAGGAAAACAAAAATCAAACACGGAATAAAATCTAAAATATATAAGTGATTTTTTTCAGAATTTGATTTTTATAATAAAAATAAATTTTAAGTTTTTAATTTTGACAATTAAAATCTTAATTTTTTGATTTTTTTTTAATTTAAATTATTTATCTATTTTTGTTAAGTAAGACCATCTCCAACGGTGAACCAAACCTGGCATCAAATTTAAAATTTGGTGAAAAAGTCATTTTTTTAAGCTCCAACGGTTTCACCAAATCGATATCAAATCCAGAATTCAGCAAAAATGGTACCAAACTGAGTGCAGGCGAAGCATTTCACCAAAGCACTGTTCCTAACCGTTGGGATGAGACGAACGGGTCGACCATCCGGTTGACCAACCGGTTAACCAACCGGTCGCCCCGGAGAAAGTTCAGACAGTTCACAAAAAGGTTCAAACCATTCAAAAAAAAAAAAAAAATTTTTTTTTGCCTAGGGGGTCGACCGACCGGTTGACAAATTTGCCTAGGTGGTCGACCACCCGGTCGACCGGCCGGTTGACCACCCGGTCGACCACCAAAAGTTCAAAAAGTTCAAAAAAAAAGGTTCAAACCGGTAAAAAAAAAAAATATTTTTTGCCGTTACCGGTTGACCGGCCGGTCAACCAACCGGTTGCCCAGCGCAAATTTGATGAAACGGATTTGATGTTGAACTGTTGGAGCGCGAAGTATCAAATTAAGGAAATGACCCCTTTTCGACTCAGATTTAGTGAAACATTTGGTACACCGTTGGAGATGCTCTAAGACTAACTAAAAAAATATTCTACACATTAAACTCAATAAAAAAATATTATTTTTCAATCAGTTTTACTTAACAAAAATAAATAAATTATTTAAGTTAAAAATAAATCAAAATATTAGAGTTTAAATTGATAAAATTAAAATTTTATTTTGTACAGCGGCAAACAATTTTTTTTTTTTTGTGTGGTAAATACCCCATTTTTTTTTATACATAATTTGTTAATGAATTTTATTTTTAAAAATCTTATCCATTGGTATATATATATTTTTTTTTATGTGATTTGGTGATCAATTATTGACATTTGTGCTGGTAGATTTATTTAATAAAATAAAATGTGAGCTGAGGGGTATTCATGGAATTAGAATATTAATTTTGGGGGTTTTGATGGATAATAATAAATTGACTAATCCAATAAAATAAAATGTGAGTTAAGGGGCGTTCATGGGATTAGAAAATCAATTCTAGGGGTTTGATCGATAATAATAAATTATGAGGGCTGTTATTAGCATTTCATAAATTATTTTAGATCTCCCATTTCTTTGAATCTCCATTTATAAATTCTAAAACTCTTAAAAAAAAAAAAACCTCCTTCTAAATAATACCAAAATTATCTTTGTAAAAATATTCCATCAATTCAATTGAATACACACCCTCCACACCCCAAAAAATCTCTCTCCCAAAAATCCTAACAAAACCCACAAAGATGATTACTACTTCATTCTTACATACTTGTTCATGACCTGAAAAAATAAATGTAGAATTTTTTTATTATTGATTTAAAATTCTCCTTTTGTGGGTTCTGCAATCTCTACGAGTTTGGATTTGTGATCTCTCAAGTGGGGTTTCTTTGAATTCTTTGACAGTTTCAATTGTTGTTCCTTACCTTATTTGAGTTTTGTGATTTTGAAGTTTGGAAAAAGTTCATTAATAATGTTCGGTTATCTGTTCCCAAGCAAATAAAAAATTTTCAATTTCCTATTCTCAAACAAATAAATAATGTTCGGACCTGTATTCCTAAATTTCAATTATATGTTCAAGAGTTCAGTTTCAAAAAATGCCGAACAATTTTTCTTATTTTTGTCATTTTTTTCAAGAAACTTACCATTATATGGCCAATCTCTTATGAGTTAATAACACCGTCAAAGCTATGAAACTTTTATTGTTGTATTCCTCTCGTCTTATGGAGTTGTGGTGCTTTCACTTATTGTTATTGCTGGAGAAGTATATATAATCAAATAATTGCCACTGTTATCGCCGAAATATTACCGCCAAAGAGTTTTTAAGGTTTTAAGGGTGGGTAGGTTTTAAAAGTGAAATTTAAGGAAGATGGATGGATGGTGATAGAGGTGGGTGCTCTCATAAATCCTAATTCATGATATAGTGAGTATGTAAGCTTAATTGTGAGATGAAGTGTTCCAAAATTATTGATATCATTTTTAATAATTTCATTTAAAATTATTATTGTAATAAAAAATTTAAAAAATAAGAAATTCAAAATAATTAATAAGATGCTAAAAGTAACGCTCTAAATTATTTGCTATGGGACAAGGAAAGTAATATTATATGTTAGTTTAACTGTAAAAGTTCTATATTAGCTAAATTGCCAAATGCTAAAAGATACATTATCTGCCTTTTTTTTTCCTTCTCTGGTACAACAATATTATATATATATAATCAACAAAAACTATTAAAAAAAATGTTGGTTAGTGTATGATGTATCAATGGCATGCATCTTTTGACCATGCAAAACATATAATTGGGCACTTTGGGAAGAGGTTAAAAAAATTAATTTTTAACTTTTTAATTTTTTTAGTCAAAAAAATTGGATAATTCTATCTACACATTCATATTTATCTTAGTATATACTATTTACTCAGTTTACACCATACACAAATTAAAATTTTTATTTTTATCTCAATACACATCAATAATTTTCAGATAATACTAAACTATCATCGGCTTCTCCAACAAATCCTAACCCTAACCACTGCTGGCAACCACCGCCTCCCACTGGAGCCATTCCTTTCTCAGCCTCTCTGCACTTCCCACGGCCGCCGCCCCTTCCCAACTTTCTCCCCCTCCCGTCACTGCTTCCTCCTTTCCATCGCCGTCCTCAGATCGGATCTGTAAAGAACCTAGTTGATCTCAGACTTCACACCGTCGCTGCCACTCCTCCTTTGACCATCTCATCCCAGGTCGCCTCTCCTCGCTGCAACTCGTGTTGCCCTTCTTTGCCACCAACGAAGATCTGAAAACCCTTGGCTAGAATGAATCACGATGGTGGGGAATGAATGCATGTGACAATGGTTTAATCAAATCTGGAATAAACACACATCTAGTGAAGTTTAGTCCATATTAGATTCTTATACAAAGTAGATGACTGATAAATGGTAGGCGGCTAGTGAAAGCTTGATTTGATCAGATTGTGAGATTTTCTTTTATGTTAATAGGCCCGAGACTCCCAATGATGTTCCTACCCACATCTAGAAATGTTTCGCAATCAAGAATAGGTTTCACCTTTCCCATTTGATCAACTTCAACCGGGTACTTGAGAAGGTGACCCTTCATTTCTGTAACTTCATCAGCAGCATATTGTTTCCAGTTCAACTCATTTAGTGATCTTACCCTCTTTACGCATTTAAGGCTCTCAAGATGCTTAAAACATTCGTCAAGAGCACCGATATGCTCTGCCCGCAGTGACATTCTATACCCATGGACCTGCAATTAGACAAAAATAGCAGCTCGAGACTGCCGAGGGTCGGCAATGGCAAAGGTTAAGGTTGAGTTGGGAGGGAGGGAGTGAGAAAGGGAGAGGTGTGTTGATAATTTGATTGAATGATAGAAATGTAATAAAAAAATTTAGAAAAAAGATGTGCATTGAGTTAATCAAGTAGGTGAAAATAAAATTTTTCAAAAAAATAGTTTTTTTTAGTTAAAAAAGTCAAAAAATTAAAAAATCAGCTAGCTTTTTTGCCAAAAAAATTATTAAAAAAGTTAAAAAGTCAACTTTTTACCATCTTCTCAAAACACCATAATGTAGCAAAAACTGAAACCTATTGATTAATTTAACTCTCTTAAGTTGTAAATTACTAGGAGTGAACAAATTGTCAACTCTCATATGCATATCTTTAGTAAAGTTTATATTTATTATTTTCAAAAAAAATCAACAATTATAAATGAAAACACACTTGACAACTATTTTTTGTTTCAAAATTTATATATTAATAATTTTCGAACTTAAAAAAAATTACGTTTTACTTGTTTTGAAAATAATTTTTTTTTGGCCACCTCCTTTGGCCAATCATTCTCTATGACAACTCACCAAGTACTATTTATTTATTTTTTAATGTACTTTGAAAACTACCAATTTTTTATGTCTTCACAAAAATAAATAAATTTGTAAACTCATGTAATCAGTTTAATAATTCTTTTCTTTCACAATTCATATTTTGGATTGAGTTCATCTCAATTCCTTCACTTTACCCTTATATGAGGTTTTTTTTTTTGTTTTTTAAGTTTGGCAATGAAAATAACTTAAAGCAGTTTCACTCTCAAATTTGTACGGATTGGGGGTGTTGTTTAATCCACATGTTTTGATATTTAAGCGAAGATAGATGGAAAAGACACACTTTTGTCAATCTAATGTTGAGCGTGGTAAGTCTTTCACTATACTCGTGGAGAATCAAAACTATAGCATAGTAATATTATTTTCATTTAATCCCAAGAAATTTTCAAGGTGGTATGTGTGAAGATGATAATGGCCCACTTTTTCCCCCAAAATCGTGGTGAAGGGTCCAATCCATACTGCCAATTGACCATCCACTTGTTGGATTGATGATTAGGCTATTCTTCATAGCCTATCATTCTTGGAGGCTCTACAATTCGTGTGTTGGGGGTGGGTGGGGGTTGCATTCTCTATATGTGATTGGCCTTAAAGTCAAAGTCAAACCGAGTAAAGGGGCACAAATGGCATTTAATGCTTTTTTTTTTTTTTTGTGAGTGTGGTATGTAATTAGCCTGAACGTCAAAGTCAAGGGATATTAATCGTGTTAAAATATTATAATTTTAGGTATTTAACATATAATTTTTATGATTCTGCAATTGCTTAAGTTGTTATAAAAGTTGTTAACAAGGTTACTGCAACAAGTTTTGATTTTGCTAATTTAAGATAGGGTTTTTTGTGTCAAGATCCTCTCCTTACATTTTTTACTTGCAGGGTCATTGGGCCTATTTTCAGGCCCAGTTTTGATAATCTGACCCGTTCATATTTTAAGGTTTGTTCAGTATATCATATTTGTAAAAAATCAAATTGGTCGGATATCAGAAAGCATATGTTCAGAAAATTATTTATTAAATTTTTTAAAAAAATAGTTTTTGGTTTGATTTTTCCGAACACATGTTTTCTGATATCCGATCAATTTACTTTTTTACAAGTACGATATACTGAACAAATCTTAAAATATGAACGGTTCGAATTATCAAAATTGGATCTAAAAATAGGCCCAATAACCCTACAAATAGAAAATGATGCAAGGAGAGATCCTTGCCCGGGTTTTTAATGTACCTGCAAAATTACTGTTCTATAAGTGGTACAATTTTGTTGGAAGTTTAATAATAAATATGAGGGCAAAGTTGTCATTTAACTTGATGAAAGATACACATCAAGGGGAGCTTCTATTTACACATACAATATATACTTTCTACACATCCCCTCTCACTACACTTTTTACACACTCCCTTCATTAAGTGTGTGTATAAAGGGGATTTAGTGTGTGTAAATAGAAGCTCACCACATCAAGGGTTCCTGTGAAAAAAGGTGGAGCCAAAAAGCTATGGCCCACGGACCAGTCCTATTTGAATAGGATCTAACAGTTATAAGAATTTCATTTGAAGATTTATAAGAATAGTTTACATACATTATCAACATGATTAATTTTTTTATTTTAAGACAAGAAATCTCCCAAACTAGATCCCACAAATCATATGCCCTTGTTTGGCAATAGATTAAAATGAGGCTAGTGGTATTTTTAGTCACAAAAAAATAAAATAAATTAAAAAATTTATAAGACAAAATGTTACATCTAAGTCATAATCATTTTATTTTTTCTCTTACAAAAATTAAAAAAAAATTAAAAAAATCAATCCAAACGAACTTTTTAACCCCAAACTAAATATAGTTAAAATGTCCAACTCATTTCCTAAATAAATATGCATCATTAAGTTCAAATATGCTAGTAAGAGTCAAATTGTAAAATATGAATTTACAGTTCATCAAATATCACTCCTAAATATTAGCAAGAATCAAATTCAAGACGTTTAAATTTACCATTCTCCTAAATTCATCACAAAATATTTGAGTTTACAACTCTTTCAAAATTCACCACCTTAATAACATGATTTGATTTTACTAGGAAAAAATAATAATAATAATAAATAATGGATCACACAATGCATTTAATTTAAGGGGCATTGGACCAGCTGTCTTATCCCAAGAGGAAAAGTCCATGGCCAACAATTGATCACCATCATTTGGCTAAGAGATAAAAAAACAAACAAATTCATATAAAATTTATATATTCAATTTCACACCAAACTCTCTTCTTTGTTTTTAATCATGGATAAAAAAATAAAAAACTTATAGTGGTTAGGGGTAGGTAGAGATGATGACAGGGAGGGGGGGTTATTATCATGTCCGCATCAGAGTTGGTCCTGGTGAGAGATTATATGGGTGAGTTGATATTGGTGCTTTAGGTATAGAAAAGCAACTCTCTATCTCCACTTTTCCCAATTGAAGAGAGAGCAAGTATGGTTTTATAGCACCTTTATTATTATACTTAAATATAAGGGTGGTGTTATATTTTTTAATATATTATTTTTATTTTGATTTTTGATAAGGTAGAAGAGTAGAGAGATAAAGAGAGGAATATAAATTCTCCATTTACACGATCCATTTTATATCATTAAAAAATAAATTAAGAGTGTTCAATTAAATCTCTAATTATTTTTTTAAAATATAAATAACTTGTGCAAGTGCTTGATGATACCTTGGTGGTAGGTAAGCACTTAGTGGCCTTGCTCTAGGCTTTGAATTATCCTCCTTCATATGACAATGAAGTAATGGGACCATCATTATCCTTAACTCCCATCATGTATGCATGTATTTTCTTCTTCTTCTTTTTTTTTTTTTTTTTGAATAAGATGTATGCATGTATTTTCAATCCTCACAATTATTGTTTTGTAATTTTTCTTTTTTTTCCCTAATATTATTTTGTTGATTTATGAGAGCAAAAACCATTCTAGTTGTCATAAATTTTAGATTAAGGAATTGACTTGGCTAGTAGAAGATGCTCCTTGTTACATTTGATGTCCAAATGTTGTATGCTGGATTCAGAAATAATGAATCGCTCCTGAAAAAGAATTTATTGATTCTCATTCAATTAGTTAGACCAGAAGTGTGATGATTTATTTCAGGCAAAATCTTCTTATTTAATTTGATGCATTGGTTCAAGTCATATCATTGTGAGGTGCATTTTTTTTTTTTTTCCTATTCTCCTCATATTAATTGTTAAAAGAACAAAACAAATGCTATGATTTTCATGATGAAAAATAATTATTATATTCCTTCTTCTTTTTTTTCTTTTCTTACTTTACTTTTCTAAGTTGTGGTGAGAGATATGTAAAGCATGAATAATAATTTATATATGGAATTGAAGATAAACAAGTTTGGAGTTATTATGGTTTTTACTTTACAAGGATTTAGGTGTATGGTAATAATTATAAATGGTGGTAAAGGATATGGCATGAAATTACACATATAACTAGTCAAATGATAGTAGCTCAAGCAAAAGTGAATAAGTCAACTAGTTTGGTCATCTACATATGTAACTAAATAACTGCCCTAATATGTAAGATCTAGGTTGGGTATGATTTGGAAATGGAAGCACAATCCTGGGAAGGTTGGTAGAGTGTTCATTTTTTTCATTTTGGTTCATCCTTGTTTAGTTTAAAAACGGGTGATTGGACGTGGTGGCTAGCAATAGTGAGGTGGTTGGTTGGAGGGAGTGGGAGAGAGGGGGAAAAAAAAAAAAAAGTAAAATTTTATTTTCTAAATAAATGAAACTAATCTTTTTTTACAATAATTTAGTAAATTTTATAAGTTGTTTATAACTTTTTGAACACAAAAATAAACCAAACAATTTTTTGTTTACAATTTTCAAAATTTTTGTAAATATTAAAAGAAATCTGTAAACATAAACATCACCAAACAATTGCTTTCAGTGTTTCATTTTTGTGTGAAAATCGTTTTCAAAAATTCATAAACAATTATTGGTGTTTAAAAAAAAAAATTGTTAATTTAAAAAAAAAAATTCCACAAGTTTCGAAAATAATTCACCAAAGTTTTTCGCACTTTCAAGTGAACAAAAATGAAAAAAAAAAAAAAAAAATCTAAGACAATATTTTAAGATGTTAAGATCTGGATCCCATCCTTGTTTAGTGTCTTCTACGACAGAGGAAGCATAATTTATATATTTTATGCACCAAACAGTATCCAAGATGCCCTTTCGAAGATAATGCCACACCAACTAAATAAATACGGCAAAGGCAAGCAAACATTATTGACAGCCTTTTGTTGTTGATCTATATATAGGAAAAAAGTGTATTAATCTCTTCTCTACATGATAATGTATGTGTACTATGTAATTAGCTATGTCCAATCTATATATATATATATAATAAAAAAATTGTAGCTTTGAAACCCCTTAATTGGGACCCAAAACTTGGTGCTTTCAGTACACAACCACACCACAAGGAAATTTTTTGCAACCAACAAAAGGAAGGCAGTGAAAGTGGATGGTAGTTGAAGAGTGCAACTTCCACATAACCTATCTTGTACTTTCAATAACATAACATGCTAGCATGACAATGACAAGATAAGAATCAAACTTAATCACTAAAAAGTTAGTCTAATTGCATAGTTTGTAGCCTAAATTTGTGTTCTAAAGTTGATTAAAGGCCTTTTAATTTGTTTTATTTGTATTTAGCACATAGCATAATTTGCAATGAAGGACTCACCTTGCTTCTTGTTGTCTATATCCTCTTTCTGATTTCCTCATCTTAGTCTTGCGGCTAAATTTACATGCTCCGTCAACGTGGGGTCATTTGTAAGACAAATTTCACTTTCCTGCTTCATAAAAACAAAAAACCAACAAAACAAAACAAAATTGTCGGTGGATTCAGTGAGTCGAGCATTTTTTGTAAACCCTTTGCCAAAATTGTAATTTATCATGTGTTTGTTTGGCATGTGCTAAAATAGCACATTTATCTTATTTGGATCATAACACCTCTCTACCACATCACTTGAATTCCAACCCACATTTCACATTTTTTCATAAAAAGTCAAAAAGTATATTAATCTGGCACTTCCCAAACAACCCCATGTAAGTTTATAGTATGAAACAAAATCAAATTTTCTACCCAAAGAATATTAATGATTGCATGTTTAAAAGTAACAAAAGTGGATGTTAAGCGCAAACATGATAATTGAGCCAATATAAAATTAATATTTAATACCTTTCCAATTACAGGACAAACACTGAAAAGCCACAGGAAAGAAACAATGGTATCACACAAAAAAGTGATATTCAGAAACAACCTGATTTTTATATATAATAAAATTAGCACGCTGGTCAGATAAGCATTTTTTTCGCTAGGACATCATATATCAGACAATGAAATGATGCCTTTGCATTGAGTGTAAATGACAGTTTACAATAAACATAATGTCACGATAAATAATAGTTAAAAATTTTTGAATGCCCTGTTTCAGCATCTACATGATAATTGTAAGAAGCCGAAATAAATTTAACAACGCTGCTACACACCCCTACTGGGGTCAACCCCCAGTGACGTGACGCGTCCCCATTGGCCAGTTTTCTTTTCTTTTTCTTTTTTTTTTCTTTCCTTCCAATCCCGCAGTGCCACGTGGCACTGGGGTCGGTGGGGGTGGGGTTTACTGGGGTCCGACGCATTTCCGTAAATTTAATCACTAGAAGTCCTCGTCAAGTGTGAAGGCAAAGTTTTTTGCACCATCTTGTAGGCCTGACATAACAGAAGCCTTCTGATAATCACCCACCCTTCTCTCAAAGAAGTTGGCTTTTCCTCTGCTCAATCAGATGAACAAATTAGATTGCATAACATGTTCAGAACCAAGAAGAAAGTAAAATTGACATTGCAAAACACTCTTAAACGCAATTCATTTTCAGAAGTCAGCATGACATGTCAATAGACAAAGGAAAGTCAACATATTCATTAATTTTAAGGTTAAAAGGGACAACTACCGCATGCCCTCAAGCTCAATCTGCTTCTTCTCTGATAGAGTGGAATAGTGAGACTAACATAATGGATGAAAACATTTGCATCCAAGACTGATCTCTAAAAGTATTGCCTTTTTTTATCCATAGCTTGGTAAAGTAATAAAATGCATGGGGACCAATATTTCATGTCCCACTGAAATCGAATATTGCCACACTATAGTGCAAGGATGATCAGACAAAAAGGTCAAGAATGAGATTTTACTCCACCACATTGAACAGTGGGAAGCCAGCAAATCAAATTACCATAATTACCATGATGACCAGCAGAAAAGACACGTCTCAAGAAGGAAATATCAAGTGGTGGGTACTGATTAATTGGATTGGTAATGATTAATTGGAACGGGCTCTTATATCCTAATTTAATCACCTAGGATTCCATGATTTGGGTATTTTACTCATGCAGGACGCTTTGGGTCCAATACATTATGGAGTCCAAATTTTAAGGCCTCTGTTTTAATACTCACTGTAAGGAAATAAACTCCATCCAATCAAAGGGATTTTCTACGTTGTACTTCGTGTGGCACTGTAAAGCAACCTGGAAAGGCAAAAATATAGAAACTGTTTAGTTATCAAAACCAGCATTATTAACTCCTTAAATTGAAAGACAATATAATGATCGTACCAAAAGACGGTCAGCAACAAACTTTATGTATTGGCTCATAAGTGTTGAATTCATGCCAATCAATGCACACGGGAGAGCTTCACAAACAAACTGGGTCTCTATTTCAACAGCTTTGTGCACGATGTGATGGACTTTTTGCCACTGTAGTTGCTTCTGTAACAAACTGTAGATAACAATAACTTAATTTTTGAATAAAAAAAACATATTTCAGCCTAACTATACTATTTATAGAAGCATACTGTGACGTAAATTTCCAATCAAGGATCACATACGCAAGTCACAATAAGAACAGCAGCAAAGCCACCTGTATAGTAGACAAGCAAAATCGCAGTGGAGACCCTCATCTCTGGAAATAAGTTCATTTGAGAATGTCAAGCCTGGCATGAGTCCCCTCTTTTTAAGCCAAAAAATGGCGCAGAAGCTGAAAAGAAAAGAGAACCCATTATGTGTGATGGCAATCTCTTCACATACAATCCAGAAATTTAAACCCTCCACAGAAGAATATGAAGAAGATGATGATTTAAAATTAACAAAAAGCATACCTCCCTGAGAAAAATATTCCTTCAATGCATGCAAAGGCAACAAGTCTTTCTGCAAATGAGTTGGAGCTGCATATGAAGATTAGCACAATGAAGATTTGCTGAAAACTATACCTCATAGCTCTTGTGTTTGTACTATTTCCAAGCTAAAGACTGCAGGCTGCAGCTAAACTACAACAACTATAAAGCCAACACAATGTTTTGAAGAAAAGGCGAACAATTGTCCATATTGTTAGCTGAGTATAGGACACAAATTTGAAGAACTTGCATCATATTGAGTGAATGAGGATGGAATATTCAGTCAAATTAATGAAAAGTGACATCCCAAATATTAATGGGAAGAAACTTCATATATTTTCTGATAAAATTTTGCTCTTCAAAAATAGTGAAAGTGAGGTTCTACATTGGTATTTACTCTATATACTCTTCTTACATACCAAAAATAGCTTTAAGGCACAAAAAGAGCAGAGGCAAGTATGATTACTTTAAAATACAAAAGAAACCAGCAAACATCCAAACTTAAGTAACAATGTTTTGCATACCTTCTTCCTCAGTTGACACGTGGAATCAGTAGAATGTTAAAATTGGACAAAATAAGAATGCTATAATACCTTTGAATCCAATCTAAAGCCCATTTGGCTTTTTGAGCGACACAAGGAATATTCTCAATTGCATTGAACAATCTATGTTTCTCCCTCGAGTCCCTGATGTATGTTTCCAGAAGCAAGCTGTACATCTCTACAGCAGGAGGCAGAAATACCCAACATCAGTTAACTTAAGAATGCATAAGATATTAAATCACCCAATACCAAATACAAAGCTCTACCAGAATGTACATTCTCCATTGCAATTTGGAATCCGTAAAATGCCCGAGCCTAGAAAGTATGAGAAGGATTGATGTTAGCTTCAGGGAAAGTAAAGTAGGCTTCAGCATTTAATGATCAGTATAAAAAAATTAATATAGCCATTTAAGGATGTGGTAACTTTTGTCGCATCCATATATAAGATATATGCACACACTTAAATGGAGACCTAATCCACTCATCCTCAATTTCATTGCCGCCTTCAAAGAGCAATCCATCTAATATCTACATATTACTAATAAATATTTAAAGAATCCATTTTCTATTTCCAAGTAATAGCTGCTCAATCTTGTCTTGTCAGATCATCATGACTAAAGTCACTTCTGATACTTCAGAATTCTGTCTTTGACAGCAAATCATGCTCTAATAATGAACATAAAACTACAAGAACGGAGGCAATGTCAATCATTTTCTCTTTTTTCACTGACAAGCAAAAGAATTCTATTAAAAGAGGCACTAAGAAAAGCCCCAAGTATGCAGGCTCTATAAAGTACAACATGAACTACCCCTATACGACTTACCCCTCCATTATCTACAAATTTTAAATTTTAAAATCAACTTGAGGATGGACACTTCATGAAGTCCAACTATAACATATTCTAACTAGTATTGGAGCCTTTCATTCCATCAAACACAACCAATGATTGTGTTCTCATCATATACACACCACATCAAAAAATTAGAAGTGATTCATCAAACCTTCCTGCTCCTTATTAAAATCCCAAACCCACTCCAACTATGCAATAGGTCCACAACAGAAGTCGGGAACACCAAAGATATCTCAAACATCAACAATCGGAGAGGCTGCACTTTTCTGTCCATTCTGTAATGAACAAGAAGATTGTCCAAACAAATTATTAACAAACTATCTTCCAGAAATCACTGAGTAATAAACTGTTTCTGATATTTCAGTACTCTTTCACGGACCAGCATTTGATGCCTAAGCCATTACTTGACAGTGTTAGCAGCTTAGAAAAATTTCAACTTGGAAACAAAATGAAAGGAGCATTGTTAAGAAATTTACCTCTGGAATTTGAACATCATTTAAGAATCTAGCAGCCAAGTTCTCCAAAACAATCCCATCAGATGTGGCGAAAAATGCCAACACATGGCTTACAAAGTGCTTCTCAGAATTAGACAAAGAGTCCCACTGCTGCACATCCTGGGATAGATCCACCTCCTCAGCTGAGAGCCCAATAACAGATTATTAGAATAATATGTGCCAAAAACAGGGATGTATTAGAAAATACCAAAGATGAAAATCAGAGAATGAAAAGTAAAATAAAATCGCACTCAGTGCATTCAACTTAACAAAGAATACAAAGTCCAATATAAGAGGTCCAAATGCGAGACACATCAGAATTCCTAACATCCTTGAATATCCTCATTAACAATCAAACCTGAAAAGTGGGGGAAATATATATTGTGTTTTTTACTGATACGGTTACCATCGCCATTACCAATAACCAATACTAACAGTACCAAGGGAATAGCAATTCCATTACCATACTTGCCACCTCCTGACAGATAGTGTTTCCACAGACTATACCACACAAACCGCTATCCCATAACCATATCTACAATTGGTGGCCTCACCACTACTACCACCATCATTAATTACCTCAAAGCAACCCCACTCCCCCAACCTCATCACCTCTTTGCCATTGTTAACACTCAAATAAGCTCCTAGTTACAATAAACAATTATTTTGGCATGGCACTTTAGGAGAAAAGAATGCAATGGGTTACCAACGTTAGCCCTCATAGTATCATACTTGCTCCACACTCTGATTTCTAAAGCCATTCTAGGTACAAACTAAGGTCCCTCCATTAATCTTTACTTATTTTGTTCTCACTAGTATTACTAGTCCAATACCAAAAAGAACACAGCTGCTACAGTACATACCTCTAAAAAGGTATATCATATGCAACCTACCACATGTTGTAACCTTTCTCACCAAAATAGTTCGTAACATTTCTCACCACAAAAGGTTCTTAATATTTTACCACACCATTTTTAACATAACCTCAATGTTTCGTAAAGAGGCATGACTAACACCACAAAGTGGCTAGCAATTCTTACAATTAAATCTGGTAAAAAAAAGCATTTGTGCTGTGAAAATATAAAGATTTAAGGTTGTTTGGCTGTTAGGATAAGAAGTTGGATACCATCGAGTTATCCCACTTGTATTTTGGATTGATTTCCACCTGCAAATATAATCCACGCATTAAAAACTCCTGACCCTGTTCGTAGTTTGGCTCAAATTGGCCTTACCTCAAGCTTGGCCACCCACCCCAATGGCGAGAATCATGGCTCCGACCCTGACTCGAAACTAACAATTCTAACCAAAAGTGAACAACAAGGACGAGGACACAAGGTCTTCAAAATCAAATTCCTTTCACCATGAAGTGAGTATAGCAATCATATAAAGCAACAATCTTCTAAACAATAATTAATAAATCAATATTATGAGAGTGAGAGAGAGCAAATACATGAACAATTTCGAGCAAGCATACTTATGATAAAAAATTCCAAATTTGGGATACAAAATCGAATATGTGTGCACATACAAGTAGATAAGTAAGTGTGTACATCAATATCAATATGTGTATTGCTTGTGCGTGTATAGATATAGACATAGATTAAATTACCGGTCCAAAAACTAGCTTGGGACTTCTTGTACATCTCCCAAAGTTGTGGGTATCGAATTGGAAACATACAAAACCTCTGTGATTTCTCCATTAATATGGGTTCCTCTTCTCCTCCTCCTTCTTCTTCTTTGTCTTCGAGTTGTCCTCTCCCGACTCCATTTTTCAGAGAACCCATTTCACTATCTCTCTCTCTCTCTCTCTCTCTCTCTCTCTGTATGTGTATATAATATATTGGCGGAGCTTGTACGAAGAAGATGAAAGTGAAACCCTACAAAAACCTCTCAAGGAAGAGAACAAAAGACGGGTTTTGGTGGTTGATGATGATAGCGAATCACACGTTCAACCGTAAATTATTGGAATTTTTATTGATAAGTCCAATTTACAAGTATTTTAACTCAAGAAGTTTATGAAGGAATTTTTTAACCCATTTAGTCCCATGTATGTATAGTTTTATTCCATAAAGTCCATTTTCTTGATTTACACTATTTTCTTGGACACTTATGCCCTTATATTATATTTTGATACCCTTATAAATATTTTTTCAACGATTAGCAATTTAATGATGTGAATATTCATATTTTAAAATTCACATTTATAGGAATGTAAATTGGCCCGTGGGCGGCCCGAAACCCACCCGCGAGCCAGGGCGGGCCCGGCCCGTTGACAATGTGAATATTCACATTGACATGTTAAAATTCACATTAATATGAGTGTAAAGTTGGCCCCCGTCCCGTGGTGGCGCGAAACCCACCCGCGGCCCATGGGTGGCCCGGGGCGGGCCCGGTCCGGCCCATTGACCATGTGAATATTCACATTGACATGTTAACATTCACATTGATAAGAGTATAAAATTGGGCCACGGCCCATGGGTGGCCAAAAGCCTGCCCGCAGCCCGGGGCGGGCCCGGCCCGGCCCGTTGACAATGTGAATATTCACATTGACATGTTAACATTCACATTGATAGGAGTGTAAAATTAGCCCGCGCCTCGTAGCTGCCCGAAACTCGCCCACGGCCCGTGGGTGGGCCCGGCTCGGCCTGTTGACAATGTGAATGTTCACATTGACATATTAACATTCACATTGATAAGAGTATAAAACTACCCACACAACGCTACACCATCACTCTGCTTCCAGGTGATGGCATTGGCCCTGAAGTCATCTCCGTTGCCAAGAACGTCCTCCAGCTCACTGGCTCTCTTGAAGGTAAACCATTGTCTCAAAAACCCCAACTTGATTTCTTGTTCGGTTGCTGAGAAAATAGAGGAGAAAGATAGGAAAATAACTGATTTATTAATCTCAATTTCTTAGTGGACTAAATGTTGTTCCAGAGGTCATCAACAATGAAGAGTTTATGCTTACAAATTTTCTTACTTATTTCACAAACCAAACAGAGTTGTTATTTTATTTCAGTGTTCTTGACCAAAATATACACATATCTCAGTGGCCAAAGAGGTTCTTATATATACATCAAACTAGTGTTTGACCAAACAGGTTCTTATATACACATACACATCAAACTGGTTCTTATATACACATCAAACCCAGAGGGAATTCAAATTTCTCTGGGTTTATTTTGACCAATTTTCTCTGAGTTTTTAAATTTCTCTGGATTCATTTTGATCAATTAACAGCCGGTGAAGTCAGAGAAATTTTCAAATTTCTCTGGAGTGTTGAGTCCAGGAGAGGCAGGGAAGGCAGAGAAATTTAAAATTTCTCTGAAGATGTAATTTTGTGAAAAGGCAGAGAAATTTCTCTGGGAGAGTGGGAAGTATATGGAAGGCAAAGAAATTTGGAAAAGGTGAGGGCAGAGAAATTTACAGTGGGAAATTTCTTTGTGACGTGAATTTTCTCTGGACTAATTTTCTCTGGATCACTTGAGGGACCTTAGACATTATGAAAATATTGAATGTCCTTTATGCTGTAAAATCTTAATACCAGAGACCTTAAAAAAAATTCCCAAACTTAATTTAATATCAATTATTCCAAATTTTTTATCAAAATCTTTTTATAAAAGAAAATTTTGACCACAAACCCCTCTTACCTTCCTTTCCTTGTTAAAAGGACTCAAAAAAAATTATACTTTCAAAATCACCTCATAATTATAGGCCTGTTTGATTGGGGGATATGAAGATTGGGATTGGATATTATATCTAGTGGGGTCCATATATCCCATGTTTGCAAAATTTTTTTGAAGGGGATATAATATCCGGTGGGATTGTATATCCCCCAAAAGTGGAGGATATACAATACCCCCCAATTATATCATATCCCCTTGGTTGGGATATGATGTAAAAAGTCCAATTTACCCTTTTGTCTATCTAACATAATATAATTTAATATTTTTTTTTGAATTTAATACAATATAATTATTGAATTTAATTTAATATTATTGAATTTAATATAATATAAATATTATTGAATTTAATATAATATAATATACTATTATTTAATTTAATTTAATTTAATACAAATTTTGAATTTAATATAATATAAAATTTTGAATTTAATATAAATTTTGAATATAATATAATATAATTATTGAATTTAATTTAATATAAATATGATTGAATTTAATTTAATATAATATAATATTATTGAATTGAATTGAATTTAATATAATATAATTTAATATAAAATTTTGAATTTAATATAATATAAAATTTTGAATTTAATATAAATTTTGAATATAATATAATATAATTATTGAATTTAATTTAATATAAATATGATTGAATTTAATTTAATATAATATAATATTATTTTGAATTTAATATAATATAATATTATTTAATTTAATTTAATTTAATATAATATTATTGAATTTAATTTAATATAAATTTTGAATTTAATATAATATAATATTATTTAATTTAATTTAATATAATATAATATTATGAGGGCAATCTTGGAAATTACTTGTTATATCCCACAATATATTTTGTAAAACAAACATGCATAACATATATCCAATCTTATATATCAAGTCAACAAACATGACTTAGGGGGATATACTATCCAATACCTATATCCTATTAATTATATATCCTGACTAAATCCTACATCATATTATATCCTCCATTTTATATCCAGTGAAACAAACGGGGCCAAAAGTCTTGTATAAAGAACAAAAATTTTCATATTTATATTTTGTGTGACAAATTTACCCCTTTCGCACATACACTCTCTATCTTTCTCTTCTTTCTCTCCATCAGTTTGCCATCTCTTTTTCAGTTATTTCTTTCTCTATCTCTTTCTAAGAGCTTTCACCACCACCACCATCACCACCGTCTACACCATTATCACCATTTCTACTACCACAATGACCATGACTATCATCGTTTTCACTATCTCTGTCGTTTTCATCAACACTGTCTCAACCACCAATGTTGTTCGTCACCGCCACCACCACTGCCACTACCACAATCACCACCGTTTCATCATTAGCATCTCAACCACCAGCGCCATTCGATGCCACCATCGTCATCCTTAGCATCTAAGACTTCAGGTCTGAGATTGATGACATCAAATTTGAGATCTATCATCTCATATCTATATTCTCTTTGTCCCCTTATCATGCTCTGTTTTTCAGACAGTAAAATTTTACTCTGGTTTGAACCAGATCTAAGACAATATATGTGCTCTCTCTATCTGTCTATTTCTCTATTTTTTTCTTCTCTAGTATGTCCTTTGTTTTTGTTTGACAAAATGAGAGTAAATTTCTATTCTGGTACGTGTTCTGTTTTTGTTTGACAGAATTAGAGTAAAATTTTACTGTGATATGTGCTCTATTTTTGTTTGATTAAATGAGAGTAAAATTTTATCCTGGGCTTTATTTTTGTTTAATAAAACGAGAGTAAAATTTTACCTCTAAGGTAATATATGCGCTTAACGATATAAAATTTTATTTTGAATCATAATAAATTTTACTCTGATTCAGAGTAAAATTTTACTAGGATTCAAAGTAAAATTTTATTATGAAATACACTGTGAGGATGACTTTACAAGAGAGCTGATATATATATATATATATATATACATATATACACGAGGGCAGTATAGTAAAATAAACAAGTTTTAAAATATTATGAGATTTTGAAAGGATCTATATAATTCTTGTCTTTTTAAAAAATAAATTAGAAAGTGAGGGGTCTATCACCAAATCTCCCTTTATAAAATTATATTCTCATCCCAAATTTCATTTTTTATTAATTTTGATGAAAAAAATTTATAATTTCAATCATTCATCTTTTAACAATTTCATCAAAGTTAAGTGTAAAAAGACTTGTTAAAAATTTGATGAAATATTTAGTTTATCCTTGATTTAATAAAAATTTTGCTTCTCTCTTGACTTGACACAAGTTGGATGAAAGGATTGGACTTTATTTTTATCAAAAATTTTATAAAATTTAAATTTGATGAAGAATTGAAGATGTTCTTAAAAAAATGTTACAAATTATAATGTCTAAGAGCATCTCCAACGGTGAACCAAAATTTTCACCAAATCTGAGTAAAAAAATGACCATTTTCTCAATCTGATACAAAATGCTCCAATGGTTGATTTTCATCAAATCTGCTCCAGGGACAGCCAGTTGGTCGACCGGCCGGTCGACCGATAAGGCAAAATATATATATATATATATATATATATATATTTTTGAGTTGTTTGAACCTACCTATTTGAACTGTTTGAACATTTTAGTAGTCGACCGGTAAGGCAAAAAAAAAATATATATATATATATTTTTGAATTGTTTGAACCAACCCATTTGAACTGTTTGAACCTTTTAGTGGTCGACCAGTTGGGAACCGGCCAAGCAACCGATTGGTTGACCGGTTCAGCTCTTCCAACTGTCAGGAACAGTAATTTGGTAAAATCAGTACCTTGTTCTCAGCTTGATGATTTTTTTGTTAAATTTTCATTTTGATATCAATTTGGTGAAACGGTTGGAGTACCAAAAAGTATTTTTTTCACTAAAATTTGAATTTGATGCCAAGTTTGATTCACCGTTAGAGATGGTCTAAAGAACCACATCGTAATGCTAAATGCAAATACAATATGCAATTAAAAGCAATTCCAACTATACTTTTATTTTATTTTTTATTAACTTATATATAAAAAAGGCATTTTTTTTTATTATTATTTTACCTAACTCATTTTTTATTTATTACTTTAATGCTACTTTTTTATTTTATATATCTATATGAACAAACTGTTTAAAAAGTCTCTCAAGACTTTTGAATTTTTTTATTGATATAACTATTGTGATAGTTAGTCCATTGGAGTGACTAAAATATGTGGATACCATTTATAATAGCTAAAAACCTCATTTACCAATAGGTCTTGCTTTTAGACTAGGTCTCGTTTGGGAACATGCTATTTTAGTAATTTATAGTGATTTTTTGACTTTTTCACTAAAACTGAAGGTTGTCAAACATGGTCTAAATTAATTAGTCTTTATTGTTTTATGAATAAATTTATAGTGATAAATTTATCAGACATGACTTGTAAGTAAAAAAATTTAATTAATATGATTGATTGGTAGTCCCAACTAATTATATATACTCTCATAAAATGTAAAATAAAATAAAACAAAAACAAAAACTTTAAGGTGCCGTTTGGTAACACTTACGTTTTCAATTTTCTGTTTATATTTATAAAAATTTAAAAAACTCAAATAAAAACTTATTTGGTAAAATTTTTGATTTATAAATCAGTGGTCCTAGTTTATAAATTTGGCCAAAAAATGAAAACACAAAAAATGTGTTTCCATTTTGAGTTTTTTTTTTTTTTTACCACCCAATTACTAGCCACCACCCGCCACCATTTTCACCACCGTCTTCCGCTACCACCACCTACCCCCCACCCTACCACTCACCACCTACCTGCACCACCACTCATCACCTACCACCCGCCACCATCACCCACAGCCACCACCCACCCCTCGCTACCACCATCACCACCACCACCCGCCATCCACCCCGCCAGCCGCCACCACCAACCACTCCACTACCATCTACTGCCTGTCACCACCACCCGCCACCTACTTGCCACCACCACTCACCATCCACCTACTACCAACTATCCACATCTGCCACCACCAGCACCAGCCAACCACGCCACCACCCCCCGCCATCGCCATCGCCATCGCCAAGGCCACCGCCACCGCCACTGCTACCACCCACCACTCGCTACCACCCACCACCCGCCACCGTCAGCCACCCACCTGCCACCATCACCCACCCACTCATCACCACCACCCGTCACCTACTCGCCATCACCCACCACCACCTGCCATTCGCCACCCACCTGCCACCACCACACACCACCCACCACCACCACCCACTCGCTATCACCCGCCACCGTCACCCACCCATCCATCACTACCACCAGCCACCTACCTGCCACAACGACCTACCACCACCCGCTATCCGCCACCTACCTGCCACCACCACCCACCACCCATTACCACCACCACAACCACCTACTCGCTACCACCCGCCACCGTCACCCATCCACCCACCTACCACCATCCACCACCCGCCGTCACTACTTTCCACCACTGTCTTCTGCCGCCACTTGCCATCACTTGCCATTTCTCACTCTTTTTTATATTTTTAAATTTTTTAAAATATTTTGTCAATTACCAACGCGTTTGTAGTTTATGTTTTTCTAAAAATAAACACAAAAAAATAAACAAAAACCTGTTTATAAATTTTTTGTAAATATAAACTGAAAACGTAAACGTTACCAAACACATACTAATTATTTGTCAAATTTTCAAACTAAAATTTGTTAAAGTCAAAATTTGTGTCAAATTTCTTTGTTATGTATGAGTGTAATAAACCCCTATGATTTGAAAAATTATAAATATTTTATTATTATAATTTTTTATTTAATATAATTAACAAAAAAAATCCTAAAACTTTTTTATACAACAATACAATTACTCAATTTGTTAATTGAAATATATTTATAATATTATTAAAAATTACTAATTAACTTAATGATTTAAAAAAATGGATCATTTATTATACAATTAAAAACTTAAAAAGCCGAAATATAATTTCTACAATTACATAGGACAATATATAATTTAAAAAAAACTCAAGAAATATATTTTTAATTTATTTAAAAGTCAAATATTATGTGTAAATAGCCCGTGTCTTGCACCAGCATACTTTACCGGTATATATATATATATATATTTTGTATGTTTTGGTAATTAATTATTTTCAATCTTCCATGTACACTGTTATTATTATTTTTTCAATAATTATTTTTGAACTTCCCATTTATGTATGTAATTCTCTCACATTTTAAAAGGGGCAAATTGAAAAATAATTTTTCAGAAAATAAGATACAAAAAAACTACTGAGTTTGGCTCTTATAACAAAATAAATATTAAATTTTTAATTTTATCAATTTAAATTTTAAATGTTTGATTTATTTTCAATCTAAATCATAAGTTTATTTTCATTAAGTAAATCGGTGAAAAAAAATACATACGTATATATAAAATATTTAAAATACATCTTTTCATGAATTTATAATTAAAATATCTCTTTTCGTTAGTTTTATTCAATAAAAATAGACTAATGAAATAAATTAAAAATAAATCAAAATTTGTAATTTAAATTGATAAATTTTAAAATTTAGAATTTACTTTATTGTAAGAGCATCTCCAATGCATGCTCCATATCTTCAAATATGGAGGAGCCTCTCCCAAAAACAACTTCAACCCATCCTCTATATCTTTCTCTCAAATGGAGGAGGATGAATTGATCCTTCAAATATAGAGGGAGGATGAAAAAATGGAGGATCACTCTAAAACACTATTCACTCTTTTTTGATCTTTAATTTTGTCTTTATAACTTAATATGTATATTCAATATTTATAAAATTAGTTTCATTAAAAAGATATTAACAATACCTTTAAAATGAGACCAATATTAATTATATTTAACAAAAAATTAAATAAAATAATTTAAATTTTGGAGAAAAACTGGGTAAAATTTGAAAGAAAAGTGAGAAAATGTTCAAATTTTTGAAAAAATAGAGATGTATGATTGGAGCTGTCATAAATAATAAGATCCTCTAAACTCACTTTTTGAATAAAAAATATTTTTTTGTTCCTCTATATTAGAGAAATAGAGATGTATGGGTTAGAGATGCTCTAAGGATGAATCCTTATTTTTTTTTTTTTTTGGTTGGTAATTTTGATAATAAGACAAGTAGTCATTTTAAAAAAATAAAGACTCATTTGAAAAGTAACTATTTTAATTAAAAAAACACTATAAATTATTAAATTATTATTTTTATATATATATTATTTTATAAAAAATTAAAAATTTATTAAAATAACTTCTTCCCACCTCCCAGAACTATCTAAAAAAAAATTGAGTAATGATTCATCCCCTTTTCCCCCACCCCTTTGACCCCCTCTCTCTCATTAGTTACCTTTTCTTTTCCTTTTTTTTTTTTTCTTGCTCCACCAATCACCCCTGACACGTGACAAAGGGGTGAGGGGTGACCCCCAAAAGGGGTCCCAAGCATTATTCAAAAAAATTATCTAAAAATAGACTCCCTGACGTAGGCAGTGACGTAGCTCAACCGAGAAATTCCAATTCTATAAATCTTCACTCCCCTCCACTGTCTTTCTCCACCAATGCTCTCTTCCCGTTGTCCAAATCTTCTGCAGATATACGTATATATATATATATCTATTGTATACAAGTGGTGTTGTTGTGGGTTGTATAGAGTTGGAAATGGCAACCTCACAGTGCTTTGAGAACCCACAAAGTCTGAGCTCAACATGTGGATCAGGGAATCTCCAAGAGATTGGAGGGCTTAAGACCTATGTCACTGGTCCCCAAGACTCCAAGCTTGCAATCCTTCTCATTTCTGATGTTTTTGGTAACTGCCCATCTCCATTTCTTCATCAATCTTTGTTAATTTTGTGTTCAATTTCTCAAATTTGTTGTTTGTTCAAGCTCAATTTTTAGTGTTTCTTTAAATTGGGTATTTGATTGTGCATCTTGATAGCTATGTCAAACTATGTATAATAGAAAAGAAGCATGGGAGCCTAGAAAAGAAAAAGAAAAATGAATTCAATCAAATTTGAAATAAGATTAAAAGAAGCTAACTTTTACACTGTTTGGTTGGGGTTGGTTGGGGATTTAGGAAGGAAAAGAGAAAAGGGAAGTGAAATAATTTTACCTTTTTACTTTCTCTTTTCAAATTCCTCAACCAATAATTCCCAAAAATTATCTTTTTTTTTAAAAAAAAAAAAATCTTATTTGAACCTTTTTTTCTTTTTTTTTTTTCAAATTTTATAATTTTTTTATTTCGATCCTCAAGACTAGAAGACCTAAAAATAAAAACATCTTGATCAAATTTTAAAAATTTGTAATAAAACGAAAATAAACTAATTTTTGTCAAACTAAAATAGGGAATGAAAGTTTTCCTTTACATTTTCTTTCCTCTTCCCTCACCAATTCCCATTTTTCATTTCCTTACTCTTCAATTTTTTTATTTTTATTTTTATTTTTTAATTTTTTTTAAAGCTTTTTGATGGTTTAGAATGATGGGAAGTAGGTATGAAAAAAATGTGTATGCTTTTTTTTTTTTTTTTGGGGGGAAAATTTAAAAGTTTGCATTGTGATATATGTTTTGAGTTCTCAATATTCTTTCACAAACTAAACTTTAGTTGTTTTGCTTTCTTAAAGTGTTTTTCAGGGTATGAAGCTCCAAATCTGAGGTATGCTGAATTATTACTATTATCTATTGTTGAATGAGTGTTCTCTCTCTGTCATTCAACCGAAAAAACAAATTTGAATTTTAGAAATGAGGGACCACGATCAATCTTCAATTGATAGTAGTGCATCTGTCAGAGTTCTAACATAGATTGGTTGCCCAGTTATTTGTTTTTCCTTGGTCTCTGGAAACTCCAATCTTGTATGTTATCTTGTGTGAAATAATTTTAATTAAATTGAAGAGTAATAACATGTTTCAACCTTGCCCCCAAAAGATCAAATACAACAAAAATCCTACTCTCTATAACTGATATTACTAATTCATAATTTACTCACAGCTAAGACTGTTCATTCATATGCCAAACAATGTCACTCAAGAAATGCTGATAACCCAGGTGCAGCAATTGTACAAGGTTGGCCTGCTTTGTTCTGTTGTAACTTGTAACTGCCCTATTTTAGTGTCATTAACTTTGACCAACACAAAGAAATATATTTCCAGAGAGCTTCACTAATTGCATCATCATCTCTTGTAATTTAGTTGAAGTAACATTTTGCATTTTATCATTTTAAAGGAAACTTGCAAACAAAGTGGCAGCCGAGGGATTTCTAGTAGTGGTTCCTGATTTCTTCTATGGTGAACCTTTCAATCTTAATAACCCTAATATGGACCGGGAATCTTGGAGAAAGGCTCATGGCGTGGTTAGTTTCTGGTTTCACCACCCTTATCTAAAAGTCGGTCATCAAAATTGACATGCTAGTTTCAAAGATTAAAGAAGTGACAGCGCACACAGTTTTTCTCTATTTCAATGTCAAAAGGTTCCAAATTGTCATCATGTTTAATTTTTAAAATTTTCCAGGTCGTTCAGTTGAGATAGGACTAAAAACTAAAATTTTTGACATGATTAAAATAAAATTAAAAAAAAAAGTTAAGTAAAGAAAAAAAATAAAACAATAAAGATCAACTTTAGGCGGATAGATTCATCACTAAAATGTTATGAGAAAGCATATTAATCCTATTAAAACACAAGAGGTTTGGAAAGAAAGAATTTTTTCTTCAACAATTCAATTAGCTATGTTAATGTGAACTTTCTGCATTCCAGGATAAAGGGTTTGAAGATGCCAAGCCAGTAATTTCTGCTTTAAGAAGTAAAGGAGTCACTTCAATAGGGGCTGCAGGTTTTTGCTGGGGTGGTAAGATATTTCTATTGCTTTTTACATGAAATAAGCTGTGAAACTTGACATATTTGAACTGGGCTGCTCTTCACCGACAAGTCATGGACTCGGCTGCTAAGATTATGGGTTATTTTTTGCATTTGACTCAGGGGTGGTAGTTGTAAAACTAGCAAGGACCGATGAAATTCAGGCTGCAGTGGTTTTGCATCCCGGTTGCATCACAGAAGATGAAATCAAAGGTAAATTTCACACTTCTCAAGCTCATAACTTGTATGTGTGTGTGAGTGTGACTGACAGCTTGTTCTTACAGAGGTTAAGTGCCCAATTTCAATATTGGGAGCCGAGATTGACCAGGTATCTCCACCTGAACAACTGAAACAGTTTGGGGAGATTCTATCAGCAAAACCCGGGGTAAGAGATTCTCAAAATGTTGCATAGCTGATTTAAAAAAAAATAAAAATAATTTTAAAGCTGTCTTGTAAAGCTTTGAAAGTTCAGAAAGATAGTTTGTCTTGGCTTCAAGCCCTTTCATCATGTTATTACTCTAATTGATTTTGGTATTCTTATGCAACTTCGATATTATGTACTCAAATTTCAGTACACCTTGTTGACATAACCTTTTGTTATCTTTGCTTAAAGAACTGGAATCATTTGACTTTCTTCGTTTACTTTTTTACCTTATTTTCAGATTGACAGCTTTGTGAAAATATTCCCTGGTGTATCTCATGGATGGTCGGTAAGATATGATATTGGTAATGAATCGGCCGTCAAGAGTGCTGAAGAGTCCCATGGCGACATGTTGAGCTGGTTTAAAAAGTACGTCAAGTGAAAATAGTTCCATATAATTCGAAGAATGATACTGCACTGTTCCAAGGACAAGCCTTGGGTTTTTGTGAGACATCGGTGCATTCTGTGCTTGTAGGGTTTTTGTTAGGCATTTTATAAGACAATAAATTCTTGTATCTTCAAAGACTATTGGGTGGGGGAAGAAAAAAGAAAAAACTTGTTCTGTGTATTCATGTTGAATGAACTTACACTTCACTAAAATGAATTCAGCACTGTCATGTGTACTTCTATGAACCAAACTAAACCACCTCATCAAATGGACTAGTCAAATTAAGAATATTTTTATTTATTATATTAGTCCATGTTATAAGAAATTGAGAGAGATTGAGAGAGCAAATTAGCTCTGTGTTTTATGATATATATTGCAACCAAATGGAACCTCCATTATATAGGAGATGTTTTACAAGACAAAATGATGAAGCCACCGAAAGATAGCAAAAGGAAAAGAAAGCATCTCTGTGCTAGGCTAGCAACAACTATGCAACAACTATCTATATTTAATATAATCTATTAAATATAATATCTACATATATTATCTACTATTATATCTACATATATTATCTACTATAATATCTACATATATTATCTACTATAATATCTACATATATTATCTACTATAATATCTACATATATTATCTACTATAATATCTACATATATTATCTACTATAATATCTACATATATTATCTACTATAATATCTACATATATTATCTACTATAATATCTACATATATTATCTACTATAATATCTACATATATTATCTACTATAATATCTACATATATTATCTACTATAATATCTACATATATTATCTACTATAATATCTACATATATTATCTACTATAATATCTACATATATTATCTACTATAATATCTACATATATTATCTACTATAATATCTACATATATTATCTACTATAATATCTACATATATTATCTACTATAATATCTACATATATTATCTACTATAATATCTACATATATTATCTACTATAATATCTACATATATTATCTACTATAATATCTACATATATTATCTACTATAATATCTACATATATTATCTACTATAATATCTACATATATTATCTACTATAATATCTACATATATTATCTACTATAATATCTACATATATTATCTACTATAATATCTACATATATTATCTACTATAATATCTACATATATTATCTACTATAATATCTACATATATTATCTACTATAATATCTACATATATTATCTACTATAATATCTACATATATTATCTACTATAATATCTACATATATTATCTACTATAATATCTACATATATTATCTACTATAATATCTACATATATTATCTACTATAATATCTACATATATTATCTACTATAATATCTACATATATTATCTACTATAATATCTACATATATTATCTACTATAATATCTACATATATTATCTACCACAGTCATGAATAGTAGAGCTGAACTTGGCAAACCAAGCGCGGGGAGCTTGTTTGAGACCATATAAAGCACGTTGAAGTTTGCAGACTTTATGAGGTGGATAAGTAGACCCAGGGGGAGGTTGCATGTAGACCTCCTCAAGAAGAACACCATTAAGAAAGGCATTTTTCACATCCATTTGATAAAGATCCCAGTGTCGGGTAGTAGCAACTGCAATAAGGCTGCGAACAGAGGTGAGACGAGCAACAGGAGCAAAGGTCTCCTCATAGTCAATACCATATTCTTGATTGAAGCCTTTAGCAACAAGGCGAGCTTTATAGCGCTCAATAGAGCCATCAGAACAGGTTTTGATTTTGTATACCCATTTACAGCCAATGGCAGTCTTGCCAGGAGGAAGATCAACAATGTCCCAAGTGTGAGTTTTGTCTAAAGCCTGTAATTCATCAGTCATAGCTTGCTGCCAAAGAGGATTAGAGCGAGCCTCCCGATAGGAGGTGGGTTCATAAGTAGAAAAAGCAGTAGAGCCAACAATAAAGTCACGAAGACGAGTAGAAGGTTGGATTACCCGGTGTGGTTGAGCAGGAGGAGGTGGAGCCAGAGGAAGAGACTCAACAGGGGGTGAGGAGTCCGAGGGAGCAAGATCAGGACCATCAGAGCTGGCAGGTGCTTGAGAAAGACCAGTAGGCAAGGCAGTCTCAAGAGAGTCAGGCATGGGCAGTGGAGGAAGCTCATCAGAAAACAGATCTGCAGAAGGGTTAGTAAAACACAGAGAGGGTGAGGGAACGGATAAACGGAATTGAGAGAGGGAGGAAAACATTGTGTGTTCCCAAAAGACCACATGACGAGAGATACGGAGACGCTGGGAGAGAGGATCCCAACAGCGATACCCTTTATGTTCAATACCATACCCTAAGAAGCAACAAAGGCGAGAACGGGGTTCAAGTTTGGTACGTTCATGAGGTTGGAGAAGAACAAAACAGGCAGAGCCAAAAACCCTAAGGGTGTCGTAAGGGGGACGGGTGCCATGTAAACGCTCATATGGAGTGTGATTATATGACTGGTGTAGGGATACAATTGATAGTGTAAGCAGCAGTGAGAGCGGCTTCACCCCAAAAATTTTCTGGACAAGATGAAGAGAGAAGGAGGGCTCGAGTAGTGTCAAGTAGATGCCGATGTTTTCGTTCAGCACGGCCATTTTGTTGGGACGTACCTGGACAGGAACGATGAGGTTGAGTACCATGACTCCTAAGGAAGGAAAGAAAGTCAAAATCTTTATATTCCATGGCATTGTCGGAGCGAAAAATCTTGATAGTTTTAGAAAATTGGGTTTTAACCATTGCAGCAAAATTGTAATAAAGTTGTTTGAGTTCAGAGCGATTTTTCATAAGAAACAACCATGTAAAACGAGAAAAATCATCTATAAAAACAATAAAATAACGTGCGCCTCCCATAGTAGGAGTAGGAGAGGGTCCCCAAATATCAGAATGAATGAGATCAAAGGGCGCAAGAGAAACAGAATCACTTTTATTAAACAACAAAGCAGGTTGTTTTGCAAGTTGACAGGACACACAATTGAAAGCATCAGAACTTACAGTACCCAAATGACCACTAGAAATTAAAGACTTCAAACGACCAACAGAAAGATGGCCCAAACGATAGTGCCAAAGCTGAAAATGAGATAAAGGAGGAGCAGTGGTAGCAGTGGTAGGAGCAGTGATTTGAGAGGAATCCGGAACATGAAGATGGATAAGTTCGTAGAGATGTCCTTGCTTACGGCCTATCCCAAGAGTTTGCCTGGTCTGAGGGTCCTGCACCAAACAACCAGTATGGGAAAAGGTAACAGTTAGACCATGCTCACATAATTGACTAATGGAGATAAGATTTAAAGTGAGAGCAGGCATAAGATGTACATGGGATAAAGATAAGTGAGAGGTGGAAACAGACCCAACATGACTTACAGACAGGAGAGACCCATCAGCAGTATGGATAGAAGGAACATGAGGAGTCGAAGAGAGAGGAGTAAAAATAGTAGGATCAAAGGTCATGTGATTACAACAAGCGGAGTCAAAGTACCAAGAAGTGTTACCTGTGGTGGTAGACAAAGCAGTAGATGGAGGAGTACCGGAATGCTGCCAAAAATGTTGAAACATGGCTTCAACATCGGTATGAGAGAAGACCGGAGTGGAAGGATCTACAGGGACAGAAGAAGGTGAATCTTCGGAGGCGGCAGCAGCAGTGCGTGGAGCAGACATGTTTTTAAATGGAGTCCTAGAACGGTGAGAGTTGCTGCGGGAAAGATTCCCGGTGGAAGGACCATGGCGAGAGGCGCGGGTAGGATTGCGGAAGCAATCTTGTTGGAGATGACCGGGTCCAGTCTTGTTGCAAAATCGACAAAGACGAACGGGACAATGAAGCAGAAGATGAGTCGATGGAAGATTGCGGTTGTGACAATAGTTGCAGGTAGTGGACCGCTGTGGTGAAGGAGAACTCCGAATCTGGGGAGTAGCAAGAACAGAGTCCACAGGGTGTGGATGGAGAGTACCAAACCTGGTTTCCTCGGACAGGAGTTCAGAAACGGCTTGCTCAAGAGTGGGTAAAGGAGTGCGATGTAGGAGAGATGCGCGGACGGGCTCAAAACGAGGAGTGAGAGCCATGAGAAACTGAACCAAGCGCTGTTGGTCACGGTAGGTAGTAAACAAGGCAGCATCCTCAGTATGAGGCCATAGAGACTCAGAAAGAGCGAGTTGATCCCAAACATAATACATTTGGGAGAGGAAATCATTAATGGTCTGAGTGGATCAGGACCATCAGAGCTGGCAGGTGCTTGAGAAAGACCAGTAGGCAAGGCAGTCTCAAGAGAGTCAGGCATGGGCAGTGGAGGAAGCTCATCAGAAAACAGATCTGCAGAAGGGTTAGTAAAACACAGAGAGGGTGAGGGAACGGATAAACGGAATTGAGAGAGGGAGGAAAACATTGTGTGTTCCCAAAAGACCACATGACGAGAGATACGGAGACGCTGGGAGAGAGGATCCCAACAGCGATACCCTTTATGTTCAATACCATACCCCAAGAAGCAACAAAGGCGAGAACGAGGTTCAAGTTTGGTACGTTCATGAGGTTGGAGAAGAACAAAACAGGCAGAGCCAAAAACCCGTGGCAGCGGAGTCCGTGGCAGCGGATTCCGTGGTTGCTGGGACTGGTTTGCACACATCCCCAGTAATGATACGCCAAAGTTTCTTGCCTTTGAGGAAGCCAGACATGGCTTGTGCCCAAAGGACATAATTAGTCCCGTCAAGAATAACGGAAATAGGGTGATTAGAGGAATCCGGGCGATCCATGAGGGAAAAATAGCACAATGGTGGTAGAATCTGAAAAAATCGAGGTTACCAGTGAATTCAGAAGGCCGAAATTAGTGGGAAAAGGAGTGAAACAACCCAAAATATGACCACAGAGGCACAAAAATAAGAGGCAAAAGGGCGCGGCGCACGTTAGCAAGAAAGGGCGCGGTGCACGTTAGCAAAACAGGCCAGGCAGTGCACGGTAGCAGAAGGGCTGACGTGTGCTGACGTCAGAAACACGCGGCGCACGTTAGCAAGATAGTGCGCGGTGCACGTTAGCACAGGACAGTGTGGAGGACGCGTAGAGCGCGTGTGAGGCAGAAGGCGGAGTCAGGCGACGCGCCGTTCATAGAAGTGGCGCGTGAGAGCGCGTGTAACATCTGATTGGACTGAAATTGGTGGCGTTGGAATCGTCCGGAGGAGACGAAGGCTCTGGTGTGGTGAAAACTGTATTTCAGAGATGGACGAAAAAAGGATACAGATGAAATGCAATCTACAGAA